ATAAGATCCATATAAGAAATTAACATTTACTATTAACTTCTAAAGTTCTAAGCAAGCTACCACAAACTCTTTCGGATCGCTGATAGTTGCAAAAAAGGAGGAATCAACGCTACTAGCTCTACAATGGTGTTCATTAAATCTTTTATGTCACAAAACTCCTAAAGGGATACAAAACTCCCTTGTATAATTTGGGGCTGAATAGTAGGGTTACTTCTCCCTATTAATAGAACTTGTAGTGTCAAGTATAGCTTCCATATTATTTAAGGTTCAATTATTGAGTTCGTTACCACTTTAGTACCTCTAATTGGTCACGTGTGCGTCATGTAAGAGAATGGAAACATCACAAGAGGCGGTCAAGTGGAAGTCTTGCTTGAAGATGAGGGTTTCGTATGTAATGGAAATGATATCGCAGCTGCAATTTTTGAAATTTCCGAAGAGGACCGATGTTATTACTCATTGAGTAGTGGTGATGAGGATGATCCGAGGGAATATAATAAGAATTTTAATTTTAGTGAAAAATTGAGGACATGGGCGATTGAGAAAAATATTACACAAACTGCTATGAAAGATTTGCTGTTGATCTTAAATGACATATTTGGCATGATGATTTTGATTCATACTGTGTTATATTTTAAATTAAACGCAAGTAATGTATGTCAATTTATTTTTATTTATCATGCACAATCATCTTGTTATTCTATAACTAACAATATTAAAATAAAATTGAGTTCAGAAATTGTTTACATTATTATATAACAATTACAATAATTAAATGCAAATCAGGTACTTTTTACTGGAATAGTGACATGTAACAAAACGTATTTATTCCTATAATTAGTTTTTGGTTCTTGTTATAAAAGTTTTGCATTATAATTATAGTACTTTTAATTTCTACAACAAGAACGTTTAATGTATGATGGTCAGTTAATAAATAAAATACTCATTGTTTTAATTAGCTTAAAAAAAAGAGCACTTGGATCATGATTAGGTTCTTCAATTAATGTGATTAATAATATATAAAATAACATCCTTATTGATAATTTTAGATAACAAAAGTAAAACTAATGTTTTATTAAAAATATATCCTTTTATCTGCTATAAATAGGAACATGTAAGTTACTTAGCAGTGAAAGCTTATGTATAACATATATTTAGATTCTTAACTACTTGTAAACAATACATCTTTTAATAGAAAATAAGAAAAGATATTAGTACTTACCTATAATAGGTGCTATTTGGTAGTTATGATTCTATATAGCTAGTATTTATTTTAGAAATTAGTTTTTCTATTCAAAGACTTTTGTTTACATTTAGATTAGAACACAAAGAACTACTAAACATTTACCCCCTTATTAATAATCATGGACTAAAGTTAATCGTGATTTAAAACTGATGCTAACTCTGTCTTACATTGAGCAAATGTAAGGGACAGCATCAGTTTTAAACTATGACAAATTTTAGTCCACGCTTATTTATAAGGGGGTTATTAGGGTTATTGCAACAACTAGCTTAAAGTAAACAATTATATTTTTTTGTCTTGGTTATAAAAATATATAATTTAATGGATAGGCCAGGTAACCATTAAGTTAACTATTCATAAAAAAAATAGAATTATATTGTTTATTGTATATTGCTAATAACGAATGAGTATAGCAATAAAAATAACCCTAGAAATTATTAATAAATTTAAAAAATTGCATAGGGACTCTTCTTCGATTTCGAATGGATCGTTACCTGGCGACGATCCATGAAGGAGACGAAGATGACGAAGTACTATGATTACACTTCAGTACACTTCTGATTCCAGGTATCTTGCTGGATTGATTTTCAGCATTATTTTTAGCAGTTGCCGCGAATGCCACCATATTTACTTTCTGAACTGTAAAAATAAATGAGCTAATGTTAATTCAAAAGCGTATAATATGTTGTATTAATTACTGTTTGACTTGATCTCACGAGGAACTCTAAATTTTTATCATGGCGCCAAAAATGATTTTTATAAGTGATACATTAACATAAGCCACTGTATTTATTTCCAAGCAATTCTATACTTTAAAGGATTTTTTATTACTTTTATATAATCAAATACATGTGTACTAGTCAAGCATAAGCTAGGTAGTGGCTTTGGGAAATGACCACGGATCCCCAAATATATGCACCCACCATATATAGATTAAAAAAAATATGGATGCGTGTAACTTATGTACGCGCGTGAGAAGTTATACTTCTTTAGCATCATTAAAAATATTTTTTAATTGCATGCAAATAATTAATAATTACAATAAAACAATAAAAGGACTGGAAAAGGATAGTTAACACAGTCAATTAAGTTCAGTTTTAATTTGAAAAATTAAATAAATATTCAAAATATTCAATTAAAATCACTACTGAATTTAAGTTATTAGTCCATATGTAATTAGCACTTGTAAGTAAATAAAACACGTTGTGTCTATATAGAAACTAGAAACATGTGGATAAATATTATAAATATGAAAACAGTGATCAGAGGCGACGAGCGTGCCAACATTGTTTTTGACAACGCGATCATCTTATGGAGCTCCGTGGATCGTTTAAAGTACCTTTCGAACAGATGTCTAATAATGGTGGATTACCACCACCTACCACCACCACCACCATTATTAGACACTAACATTCATAACGCGCCCGCGGACAACTTCATGGTGTTACTAATATTGTGTTACAGTGATGCGCGCGCATCTCGAAATTTCACTCACATGATTTTTTCATAACGCGCCCGCGGCCAACTTCATGCTGTTACTTTTGGGTTACAGTGATGCGTGCGCATCTAAAAATTTCACTCTCATCATTTTTTCATAACGCGCCCGCGGCTAACTTCATTATGTTACTTTTGTGTTACAGTGATGCGCGCGCATCTTATAATTTCACTCTCATAATTTTTTCATAACGCGGCTAAAGAAGTATAACTTCAATAATTGAAAACAGTTAAACGTACGAAACGAAATCATAATACAATGAAGGTATTTATTTTTCTAGAGTTCTAATACCAGAGTTACGACACTTTTAAGTCAATAGGCAAAGTTTTGTTAAATATTTAGTAAACAAAAGTTATGCTCCATGTAAAGCAAATCAAAATTAGATAAATACGCCAATAAAGAGTGGGCGCTTCAATTATTTGCTAATAATATATACACATATTTTAACTTTAGTTGTAGTAACAGCGACAGAATTCTTAAGTTTCTTTCATTGTCCTTATCGAATTGTGATATAAATTAAAGTTATAGCTATGTAGCCGGCTTAACCTTTAAGGTGTATGGCTTAATAAAGAATAAAAAAAAAAAAAACATTAGCTGTCTCCTGTTCGCTGCTGTCTATATTGTCAGTTGATTGTTCACCTGTAATTAAATAAAAACCCTCTAAATTAACTTTTGGTTTTAATGTTCAACATCACAATGTCATTATTGTAATGAAACAAAGTGCTAAAATAGGTACTCTATTTTAGGTACCTACCTAATTTAGGCACAGGCATAACAAAGAATACGCACGTATAATATAATAGTGTATAGAGAAATTCTTTAATAAATAATTAAACTTACCTTGGCCTTGATCTTTGAGAAATTCAAGCTGACTGTAATACCATAATTTTGGCACGTATACCTGGTCAGTTCCTGAACCTGTCTTCTTGCTATCTTGCACTTTTTTATGTTCTTTACGGAACCCAGCCCTTAATGATTAATTTTTTTCTTGACGTTCTCAATCGTAGCATCTCTTTCTACCTTCCGTATAATTTCTAATAAATTATTGTATGCTTGAAGCTTCAAATTTTTGTCTTTGTAGTCGTTGCTTCTAATTTTCCAAAGACAAGGGTTATTTCGGAAAGCTTCTATAAATTCGGTTAGCAGTTCATGCGAATAAGTTCGAAAATCACACATTTTGAGAAATTTCTGAATCAAAATTAACAAAAATTGCAATTTAAACAAGCGTGCGCGTCCACAGACTGGCGAAACAAAATGGCGGCTCGCGGCTCGCAGTGCTGCCACACGTACGAGCCAAGACGAGCTACGAGTAAGATTTCAAACCGGTTGAATTGCCGACGAACTTACTCGGCGGTTTTAAAGTACGCGTACTTACGGTGACACACGAGCGAAAAAGGTCGTCGAGCCATAAGTACGCGTACTTGCTCGCCCGTCTATCACCCACTTTACTTTACGAAGACCACGTACTTTCAGTTTCATCTCCTCGGGGCTAATAATTTTTTGGACCAAATTTTTTGTTTCGTCACTACTTTGTGCAGCATTGCAATACAACATTTACATTAAAATAATAGTAGTAATAAAACAATACATTTAAAAATGCATATGTCAAATTAAATTGAAATTGAAAAATGAATTAAAAATTAATAAATTAAAACAGAATAAAATAATATAAAACATTCAGTCAAATTATGTTCATTAATTAATTTAAATTCTCAAATTATCAGACATTGTAATGGGTCATTTGTACCCAACGTTTATACATATTGGTCGCCGTCAATCTTTCTGCCAGACTAGTGATAATTTTGTTATCACACTTGCAAACTCGAGACATAAAAGAAGCTTCTCGTTTCCTTTGAATGGAATTAAACGAATCAACGCGTGCCTGTGTAAACATTTCAGAGGCACTACAATATCGCGAATATAAGATCAATCACATCAAGATCAATAATATGAGATCAAGAATAATGTACTTATGTGTCTTTTTTCGTCGGCGCGCCGTTATCTTGTTCTCGCGTGTTCTCGCTGACGTCCCGGTGACGCCCGCGGTAAACAAACGGCCTAAGTCTAAAGAAAATTATTACTAGAAATAATTCCACTCTGTTCAGGTTTCACACAAGGAACCCGCACTTGGTACAAATGCTCACAACACAAACATTTGCCCCACCTGGATGCTAACCCGGTACCTCTAAGTAGGTGGCACCTTGAAGCCGATCGCCGAGTCATCAAATTGTGATTGTGTTTTTTGTAGCTGATTTGATTAGAGGCATGAGCTTGGATTTTCAAAAGTACATGGCTGAATTGGTGTTCGGGCGGGGTAGCTGCAGCAAGACTTATTGTTTGCCTTGTGGCAGAGATGTGCCATGTGATTTGCCCTGGCGGGAGATCATCGATAAGGTATAATATACCCGATTGAATTTATACAGCGATGTTTTAATCTTTTTCTATATTTTACAATTTTCACTAACATTTTGAAGTGATAACTTCTTAAGGGAGGGTAAACATCTTTTTTACGTAACGCATTTCGGCGCTAGTCTGTCTGGATCTACTGAATTGATTTTGAAAATTCTTTTATCTATAGAAAATCACGTTATCTGTGAATGTCCTAGGATATATATTAACCTGAAAAATGAGAAGACTTTTTCGTGGTAGTTGGATTTGCAAAGTAAGTCGGAGAAGAAACGGTCGAACGACCCTCGGGACACGATCTTATCCGAGGCGAGGCGATTAGCTACGTTACGATTCCGATTAGCACGCACGGTCGTATGGACGGCTGGACAGTCGAATAGTAGACTAGAAGCTTATAATAGAGTTTTGACCTTTTGTCTATTATCGGATATCGAAAATTTTGGCAAAAGCTTAGAGATAAATCTTCTACGTTCTTATCAACTGTTTTGTAAATTGCAGTAGATTTAAATAATGCTTATATTGCTACGATTTTTTGAATACAATCCTTTGAGAATGAAGAAGGCAACGCTTGAGTGGTACACTTGGTGCCATGTGTCCATAGGCGGCAGTGACCACTTACCATCGGGTGGACTGCCAGATTGTTTGCTTGCATAAATATAAAAAAGGGGATTTAATGATGTGGCTGCTTTCTTAACTGTTTCTACCTAAGTACTTATCTCCAACAAAAGTGAAGTAATTTTTGATTTCTGTTTACAAATAATTTTGTAAGTACTTACGCAGGTACCGTTCAATTTCACAACAAAATTATTATTTTTCACATACGAGTAAATGTAATATGAAATCTACTTACGTTACCAAATTCGGGACACTTTAGCATATTCCTTATTCAATATTCAATCATGACATATAAATACTTATTGTTAGTTAATAAGTTACGTTAACTTGATAGATTTGAACACTGTTTCACATTTCTACCACTCCTAATCATGCACAATCTTAACGCCTTGGGCGCACGATAACGAAACAAACAATCCAAACGATCGCAAAGTTTGTGTCTAACTCGATCTCCCATGGCCAGATACACAAGAAATGTCTTGAACTGATATCCGACTGTCGCTTCAACGGCGCTGAGTTTCCATGCTGCGAAAGGTTCCAACCGGTCGACTCTGAACACGGACACTGCTACACCTTCAATACTTTGCAAAGCGCGTGAGTGAGCAACCTAATTCCGTTGTCAGTGACGTAAAACGATAAACAACTGTAAGCCACGATGCGTCGATAAAGATACTACTTTTACGATTTAAAGTACTGACACATAGACAAAGGCAGGGCCGGCCAGGGGAGGGGGGTTTTATGGGACAATGCCCTACTTTAAAATACCATACCATTGTCTTACCTTAAAACGGTTATTGGCTGCTAATCTTAAGTCTGTAATTGCCGCTGCGCTATATAAATTATATCTCTAGCTGGACAGAAGGCGTAGGTGGCGATTGCTGATGTTAAAGAAGCAAAGTTGTGTGTTAATTGTCTAAGCGACACTGCAGACTCAGCATGAAATTGGTAGAAAGAGTGGACGCGATGGCAATGGATAGCAAGGGAACGCTTAGTCCGTCCGAGTGGTTGTGAAAACTGGCGTGTGTAGATTTTACAATAACATACGAGTAGATAAGGCTTATCTTTATAGATCTATATCTACACACACATTTTTACACAGCTTTAAAGCCATTTCAATGCGACGAAATAAAACAGATGACATGTTTGAGTAAGTATACATATGGCCTGTGGCATTAAAAAGAAAATTACTAGAGATTTTACCATTACGAAAAAGGGGCTAACGCGATAAAAAAGCAAACGTGCTAATTCCTTACGAATCAAAGAATAATAACACACAATTGTGCTGTTCACATTACTTACAAGTTAAAAGTTAATGCTGAACTGGTTTTCAGGAACCCTGAACAAGACCGCTTGTATACCGTAAACCTCACTACCGGACCTGGGTTGTTATCGTTTCGGGCAATAGAAGACGTTAACGTGAGTGTATTCCGAATATTTTTTCATAAATTGCATGAATACTATTACTTTTAAACATAATTAAAGATTGTTTCAAATCCCGTTCATACATACCTTAAATAAGCGCTATCTTGCAGCGAAATACTAGTGGAAATCCGACACGGTCATTAAGGTCGCGTTAGCATAATTGGTCAGTATATCCGCCCGGAGAGCGGAGGATGCGGGTCTGAGTCTCGTCTGCTCATCTCTTCAGCTCAGTCTTAAGGCTGATTTGCGCTGAGGCAACGACATGCCTGACGACAGTGACATGCTACATATTTTACCTTGGGTCATCTGGTGGTAATGCCTAAAATAGTAATGATATTATATTATAGTATATTTTCAACATTCAGCAGTCTATTTAACGTCGATGCACCATTATCATTCAGATCACTTTCAAAGCAATGTGTTGTAAAATATTGACATATTGATGTCACCGCGGCAACACTGCGGCATTGCCGCATAATGCTGCACAGTGTTGCCCTAGCGGAAATCAGCTTTTACGGCTGCACTCCAATACTTGAATCAAGTTTTAAGTGGGATTAAAGTAAGTGCTGTCTCTTTCGTTGCGATGAAAGTGGAAGTCAACTTCAAATGAATTTGACATCTCTGAATAGTCTTTGTCTTTGTAAACACTATTAAATTTTAAAATAAGTTGGGTCTTGACCAGGTGGCAGTCCACAGTCCAGAGGAGATGTTTACCGAACTTTTAGACCCCAAGTACACATTCAACGTGCGCCCTGCCCCGCAAAGACGGGTAAATTTTCTGTTCTCCGTGGTGGAAATGGAAAATGACCCTGAACTGCTGAAAGAAGATATAGCGACAAGAGGCTGCCGCTACCTTGACGAAGTGCCGGCTGAACTTCTACATACTTACAAAGTAAATAACATTTGAATTAAGGAGGAACTAGAAAATCAATTACCCATTTTTAATGAAATTAGTGAAATTAATATTAAAAACGTACTAAAAGGATATTTTTGCTCACAGTTATTAAAACAAGAATAACAGTATTGAATATGGTAACATTAAATGTTTTTCATAAACATTGCATAATAACCATATTTAATAAAAGTCTGATGGGGAACCCGCCCGTGTGAACAAACTCATTGCTTGGTGAGGGACAACCACCGAAAACTTTTAGATAGAGGGTAGATGCAGATACAAAGAGAACTCACTACCCAAGATTATTACGGAAAATGATTTAAAAGATGACGAATCCCAGTGCTCGGTAAAACCTACACAGGTTTTTGTAGCAATGTTGAAATGTATTGTTTTTTATGTATGTGAAATTCAATAAATAAATAAAAAATTGTTGAAAAGGTGGCAAACACGCATATGGCCCGTCTGATGGCGAGCGGCCACCATAGCTTCATATAGGCTACAAAAATAATCACTCGCGCCGTTGCTTACCCTGACCCGGGGCTCAATTGCATATCAGGATTGTTATGGCTATGCCCATCGCTAAAATTAGCGTGAGGTATTTGAAAACCTTCGGCGTTCAGAAATAACAAAATGATATCGTAAGCGATAGCCATAGCATAGCCATCCCGTTAGGCAATTGACCCCTTGATCCCCTACCCCGGGGAACCTTACTCACTGACAGAATCACAACATTACCGAAAGGTAGTTTTATTTTACTGTGATCTTCTGTGAGGTGAAGGTCCCCCAGACGGACGCTTCAATTCGACAGAAAATTCGCTATGCCCTACCTCTCACCACCTACACCATGCAAACCGGTAGATTAATATTTTTCCATCATCTGAAATGTTAAATATATCCTCTAGTATATTTGTTTCTTAGGTTTTCACGCACATCACTCATTAAATAAAACTAGTTTTAATGGGTTAATGCACGAACTTTATTTATTTATTGGCGTTTCGCAGTCTTTTCAGGTCTGCATCGTCAGAATAATGATTTTTTTATTTACTCTGTCGAGCTACCTTCGATAGAAAGCCTTTCTGTGTTTGTTTCGCCGGTTCTTCTCAGAAAGGTCTCCAAATTTTGAAACCGGTGGTAGTTTATGTTAGTCAAATAAATAAACTCAAAATTACAAAAAAGAATTTTAAATAAAGTACTTTATTAACTAAATTAACTAATAAATTCATACATAGACAATAAAGTTTTAAAAATCTTCCAATGAAATAGCCGAACGCTCAATAAAAGTCTTTCGAAGGTAGCTCGACAAAGTAAATAAAAAAATCATTATTCTGACGACGCAGACCTGAAAAGGCTGCGAAACGTCAGTAAATAAATAAAGTTCGTGCATTAACCCGTTAAAACTAGTTTTATTTAATATCCTCCAGTAGCTTCTATTCAAGAGACTGATTTGGACGTGACCAAAAGTCATGGCCCTATGTTAAAATTTTCTTTTGCTGTGTGGTGGGAGTACTTCACGGGACTGCCGCGTTCGAGTAAATCCCAAAATAACCACTTGGGCCTACTATTAAGCCTAGGAACAATTTGATGTTTTTCATTATTTATTAGTTTAAATTTTATTTACTTAAGGTGTATGCGTATGACGCGTGTCGCTTGGCTGGCGAGACAGATCTATCGTTTGAACATTGTCGTTGTATCCACCCAGTCCGTCATCAGTCATGTGAGTTATTAATATTTTTTTTCAATGCATATTATTAAGTTCCAGGCCCCATTTCGCTAATGACTTAATTTACTGACTGATATTTTTTTTTGATGGTAAGCGGACACTATCGCCTTTAGACGCTTCTGATACCAAAGATAACACTCACGCCGTTGCCTACCCTGACCCGGGGGTCAATTGCCTAACGGGATTATTATGGCCCTGGCTATCGCTAAAATTAGCGTGAGGTATTTGAAAACCTTCGGTGGTCAAAAAAAAAAAAATATATCTTAAGCGATAGCTATAGCCATAGCCATCCCGTTAGGCAATTGACCCCTTGATCCCCTACCCGGTGGAACCTTACTCACCGACAGAAACATAACACTACCAAAAGGTAATGTTGTTTTACTATGGTCTTCCGTAAAGTGGAGGTTACTTCCCCAGACGGGCGCTCCAATCCGAGCGGGAAATCCGTTACATCCTACCTCTCTTCGATATCATGAGAAGATTACCATTTAATACGGACTTTAAACAAAACGGATTCGGTTTAGATTTTCCTAGAAGGTTCTTTTAATATTTTATCACCATTTAATACGGACTTTTTAAAGAAACCGATTCGGTTTAGATTTTCCTAGAAGGTTTTTTAATATTTTTTCTATAATTTTCCATGAATTTCTTTAAAAACTTAGTTATGTATATCCCAATGCCTTAGTCGTATATATTAAAACGTAGTTCGTGTGACATTTCATAAGGGAATTCACGTTTTCTAGCATTGTTAGGTATGGATTCGATAGCTGGAAAATCTTGATTAAATAATCAAGATTTTTCCAGCTATCGAACATAAATATGTTGATAAATTTTGCTTTGGTGCTTAATAGTTGGGTATTTATTATGATTGAGATGGGGCTTTAAGCACGAACCGAGCACTACACTGGAAGAAAATATTAGTAGGTACTTAAAAACTTTTTAGAAAAAATAAAATAAAACGACTACTTTAAATTTGAACATCAGGGTTGGATTTTTTTTCCAAACTGGAGCGTCTGCTGCATTTTACTACTAGCTTTTTATATTTATAGAATAAAACAAAATCAAGTAAATTTTCTATCGGTTTTCAGATGAAAAGTTTTATTGCAATTTCACTGGACTGAACTGCTTGACAAACTTTAAAGGTACATTGTATATTTAAGTAAATTATTCTTTTGTAAGAAAGCACCGTGTTTTATTGCTGTACTTTTTATTAGCTTTAGATAATCAATGATAAAAAAAATGTTTTTAGCAATGAACACTGATCTGAAACACAAACACGAAGATGACGAAGATTGCTTGCCGTCATGTGCTGAGAGCGAACTCACAAGAATACACTTATCCGAGTGAGAACTTTATTACTGACTGTAACTTTATTCCGATATGAAAATTAAATGCTGTTTTTTTTTGTTTTGTTAATATTTGTCTCATCTGGATTCGAACTCGGGGCCTAAGTAGGCCTTAGAACACGATGAACATACCATTCGCGCGGAGGTCGTTTCTACACGTTTGAATTTTATATAAATATATAAAAACTACTACACTCTACCGCAAAGAAAACGGGTCATCCGCTGGTAACTAGGAACTCTGATACTATTTTCTCAAAAAGTATAAATCTTACAACTATCAAAGCTATACCCACCCAGAGTGTGTATCATGATAATCAAAATGGTTAAAATTGTATTCTCGAGTATTGTCAACTTACTGTGTCAATCATGCAAGAAACACAATGCTAACGATTTGCTAATTTTGGTATATAGTTTCGATTAATGTTCTTTTTTATAAAATGAAGATTGTTTGCCTTCTTACAATTTTTTAGTTTTTGTCCATTGTTTTCTCAGTCGTGTGTTTTCTTGCTATGTTTTATACTACCGATTAACACAATGGCTAAAAGACTTTTCTTTAGAAAACTCTTAATTGAAATTTAAAATTATGATTAATCCCAATAAATTCCTGATCATTTTAATCATTATTAAACGAACTTTTAGTAGGTACAACTTTGATAGTTGTAAGTTTTATACTTATTGGGAAAACAAATCAGAGTTCCGAAGTAGCAAAGGACACGATCTGTTTGCTGTCCAGTGTATGTGTAACAGCACATATTATTCCTTTAACACATAAATACTTAAACAAATTTTATTTTAAGGGGCTGGGTGTATAATGACACAACCGCAGGTGCCTTGGTGAGCATCCGGATGGTATCCTTGCCAACTTTGCGGTATAAAAGAAACTTAGTACGAAACAATTTGGACTTTGTAGGTAGGTATACACCTGTGGGCCAATCGCCTAACCAGATGGCTTTGGAAAACGCTATCGCTTACGATTTCATTTTGTTATTTCTAACCGCCGAAGGTTTTCAAATACCTCACGCTCATTTTCTTTAACATTGTTATTACCAATGCAAAAGAAAAAAAAAGAGCGCGAGGCATTTGAAAACCTCAGGCGGCTAGAAATAACAAAATGAAATCGTAAGCGATAGCGTTTTCCAAAGCAATCCAGTTAGGCGATTGGCCCCCTGGTCCTTTCATATCTATTGATATTAATAACATCCACGTTAACTTACTTTATATATAACAATGATAGGTGAATTAGTAAATACATACTGCATAAATTAAAAAAATATTTCAACATATTATTTTTGTTTTTATATTATAAGGGTGGCAAACAAGCGAATGGCCCGCCTGGGGGTCAATCGCCTAACGGGATTGCTATTCTATCGCTATTGCTTACGGTTTCATTTTGTTATTTTTACCGCCTAAGGTTTATATATGCCTCGCGCATTTTTTTCTTTGCATTGGTAATATCAATATTTAAGAAAATGAGCGTGGGGTTTAGAAAACCTTCGGCGGTCATAAACAAAAAAAAATCGTAAGTGATAGCGATAGCCATAGCAATCTACTAAGGCGATTGGCCCCCCTATTGTAAGCGGCCACCATAGTCTAAAGACACTTGCGATACCAAAAATATCATTCGCACTGTTGCACGTAGGGCTGCCACCTTTTTTTGTCCAAAGAAAGTACATTGAAAATCCGTTGTGCCCTAGCTCTCTTAAAAGGTTTTCTTGTTATGGTCGCTGTCGTTGCTCAAAAAGTCTGCCGGGGTGTTTAGCATAAGAACTTTGTATCGGATACTAAAATGTTCCCTTGCTGCGCTCAGGATTTTAAACAATTATTGTTATGTATAAGAATAGTCTTTTTTTTCTCTTAGTAAGCAATGTACTTTTTCAGTGTCTGTCGGAGGAATTGTGGGGCTATTCTTCGGTGCTTCATTGCTTAGCATTGTTGAGATATTCTATCTCATATGTAGACCGCAGAACAAGGAACAACTATCAACTAAAAATTGATTATACTCGAGTATACTTTGTAAATTAATGAATTCATGACTAACGACTTTTTTTTGTTTTTTTCAAAGATGGACAATCTGGAGGTTGATGCTTTATATAAATCTTAAGCATACATTTTGTTATATTTGGCAATTTGAAAATGATAATAATTGGCATTTAAGTAAATACCTACACTAATAAATCCTTTGTGAATTATTCGTGTGTTGTTACTGATTCCCTATCTAAAATCAATAAGTTCGACGTTGTAACAGAATAAATAAAGAAAAGTTAAATGTAAAATATGATTTTCATAATTTGTTGTCTGTAGTGGCTTATGTCACAAGATTTCTACAACAGCACAAGGTAAGGTGTACCCAAGAGAGACAAACAATAAAAGAGAAATATTTAAGCTTCCTTTTCGTAATAGATAACACTTCAGTGCGACACAGTTTTTGTAGCTTATTGCATGTTTGTCCTTGGGGTAACTTACCATGATATCGCTAAGGCAACGAGGCTGCTTCATCAATATTGTTCATACACAAAATTTTAAAGTTGTTTTGCTACTGTCCATATTACATAATACATAGAAAACAGAGAACAAAATATAATAAGAAGGTTGTCCTATTGTTATGCGAGTAAACAAGCAATATGGGTAATACTGAAAGTAACGTTACTAGTGGTGTGAAGAAGCAAGCTGGGACTTCAGATCAGAAACTTTATAAGTTTATCGACATAAAGGGTAAGTTTTATGAAAATGTCGTACACACACATCTGCGGCAAAATTATATGCATTATAAGACATTACTTAAAAGGCATGTCAAAGAAATAAAGGATCCTGTAAATGTCAAGTTATATGTTTTGAAGTGGCTATAATATTAAGAATAGATTCAGAACATTAAAGTTTAGCAGTGATATTTTGTAAAATATTCACGCGGGGATCCAATGTGGATCCGCGGGAACCTATATGGGAAGCGCAAAAGTGAAAATTATACAGAATAGCACTGCTGTCCTGCAATTCTGTAAGAACAAACTCACTTTTTACCGCGGAATACGGAATTTGTGATTTCAAATAGCGGTGAAAAGTAAGTTTGTTGTTACTGATGAGGCCGGCAGTTGACCAGCGGAAACTTATTGTCTCGAGCAGTAGCGATGTATTAGATCCTTTCCCAAAGCCATTTGGTTCCTTTTGCATATAAACTGCTTTGAACTGAGCAAGTGTTATAGTCTCAGTGTGTAATTTTGTCGCTCATCCATGGCTTCTCAGCAGGGTTGGTGACAATTAGGAATGTAAAATATTTTCACTTTCAACGCCCTTCTAGGCTACTTTAGAGATTTAGTAATGAATTATGAATGAATAACTCCCTAAAGCTAAGTTTTCGCTGGACGTGAGATGATTTCTTCTTCAGGTTCTGGACTCCTTGTCGATATGATGAAACGAGCGGTACAAAACAAGCAATATGCGGAGATCGACCACGCCATTAAAACTAAAGTTGAGCCCTTTCTTTACAATAAAGGAAAAGGCCGGTACATACCTATATCACATTTGGTCCTGCTCAGAAACAAGGAAAGGCCTAGGCATAAACTGGTACTAAAAATTTATCTCGACACATACAAGGAACATATGCCAAATTTGTTTAACGTTTATACATTTGATGTTTTCCGACTCAGAATGCCAATAAAACACAAATATAAGATAAGTTAATAAATTTTCTAAAATAAACGAAAGTAAATTCTCTAATTTTATCGTAACGTTTGAGGTAGTTCAATTTTCATGTTAAACTGTGGACTATTTTCATTTAATATTTTATCAACTTTTGAGAACTTTGAAATGACATTTCTTGAAACTCTTAGAATTGCTTTTAGCTTTGATCCAAGTCTTACTATGTCTATGTTTTACTTTGTTAATCCTGATGTCTCCCCTAGGGGGCTGTCAGGGGAGACAACAGTCCGAAGGGATATGCAAGTGTGTATCGTTGAATATAGGAAAATTTGTATAATTATTACTTTTTTCTAAAATTAGTCCAAACAAAAAGGCGAGTTTTTAAACTCGATTAAGCCAGCCTAATTAGATGGTTTTTCCACCAGATCGTGCTTATATAATTCAGGCAATATCAAATTTGCACCATCTTAATTTATGAGTTAACAGAATTGACGAAGATGTAAACAAAATATTCCATGAAATGATCACCACAATTAAAGTATCTTTACAAAAAGTAGTATTTATCTTAGTACCGCATTTGTTCACGTTGAGCTATCATACATTTACTTAAAGCCGTTTATGGTTTGCAATACTTTGACGTGGTTTTTAAAAGTTCAGCTTCTTTAACGCTATAAAACTTTATAAAAACACGGCTTAAAGAAATATCGTCTCTAACTGCATTGTTAAAATTTTTGTTTTGTATTTTTTTAATACTTACAATACAATGCTTAATTAGCTGCCTCCTCTAAGAGGGATGGAGAACCCAGACGAGGAATTCGATATAGAAAAAGATTGGCCTGTAGTCACCCAGGAAGAATATGATGCTAATCCATCCGCATACAGGGAGCTCTGCTGGGACCTTAAGGTAATAACCTCAAATAAAATAATTAATTGAGTAGGTACATCTTAATCTGCTGCACTTAAAAATCTAAAATGGTATACTATAATGACTAATTCAATATAATCAGAATAGCAAGAACAGGAAATACGCTTTACAGTCTAGATTCTTTCCGTCAATTAAATTATAATAATTGTCAACGGGTTGTGTTGCCTCCTCATATTTATGCGTCAGAATTTTATTGTAATTGGCAAATAAAAAAAAACAGTGTACAAATGTGTAGGTACGCAACGTAAACGGCCTTATCTTTTTATCAAGTTAACTTAGAACTTTGATTCTATCACAACTTTAAGGGACCGTAGCCCTGAGTATATGGTTTTAAATTTTATCTCAATACCGCCACGTGTTTTCGAGATATACTTATTGCGGATCCACTATACCTGCCAGACAGACAACACGGATTGGCGCACCGACGGACACCTAATCCTATAGGGGTTCTGATTTTTTCCTTTTGAGGCACGAAACTCTAAAAATACTTAAAGTTGAAAACCAGGTGTACTTACGACATCAAGCGAATCGTGGAAATGCACTGGATGTGGAAAGCGCAGGACGGTTGTGTATGGAAATCCCTAGCGGAGGCATATGTCCAGCTAAGGACGTCGATCGCCTGATGACGATGATTATGATGAAAGTTATTATTTCAGGAACGCGGGGCAGTCGGCGAGACGATCTTGCACTTGTGCTTACTGAATGCCACTTCTCTGCTCGCGGATCTGGCCAAGAGACTGCTGCGATTCTATCCCAAGCTTATCAATGATATTTACATGAGCGATGAATATTACGGTACGAATAAGTGGGGAATAACTCGGTAATGATTTTGTAGTAAAAATATTAGGTATTTTTTCGTAAATGGTTGGTATATGTTCGTATTGACCAATATTCTTGTTTGGCACGAGCTAGAAGCTAGTAATGAAGACAATAGGGATGATGACTATTTTTTTTTATTCGTTTATTAGGTAGATTATCAAAAAGTATTGGACACGTATTTTTTCTTTTTTCTCATAACATAAACATTGCAGAGATATATTGATTTGAAAAGTCGCATGACGTCATGTTTGAGTACACTTATAAGTGAAAATTCACTCAAAGGTGACGTTACGAGCCCCTACTCCCAAACTTTGACGCGCTATAATTGTCATTTTTTGGTTGATTGCCCAAAGAAAAAATACGTGTCCATTATTTTTTGATCATCTAACTGACGGACTAAATAGAATTTCGTTTACTGTGCCCCGTCATCACCCCTATTATTATAAGCTGATGTTTTTCACATAGGTGTAGATCCTGACAAACTCACCCCCTTACTAATAAACAAATGCCATTGTGTCACTCAAATGCCATTTGTCATTCAATAGACAGAGACAAAACATGGAGTAACCAATCCAAGCGTAGTCTTCGTTTATTTATTAATAAAGGGGCTTAAGCAACGACCATAGACAAGGAAGCCTACGCAATAGCAATTTTGCATACAAAAACTTCTACTGCGTAAGTTGTATTTGTTATATTTGTCGGTGGTGGTCTTTATAGAAGTACACACAGGGTGCACTAAAATAGGTGTACACTATAAATATATCCCTATTCATAATGCTTTCATTACTAAAAGAGGCTGCTGAATAGTTTAAAAACATGTTTCCTGTAAGCTATCACAGAGGAGTGGCAATATTACCTATGTGCTATCAAAATTTGCTTTATTTCTATGAAAAAGTGCGTTGAAGCAGCTGAACTTCGATTTTTTTTCTTTTTCATCATTAACAAATATTCTAAACACTATACTATTACCAGTTTCAAATCTGGCCATTTAAAATTTGCTCTTGGGTAATGCTCTTGCCCCTAGGGTAAATACACTCCTGATCTGGTCTTTAGTAAGGTTGCTTCTCTATAAGAGTTAATCCATGGAGGTAGCAGATGCGGTCATGTCAGTCAAACTAGTGCAAGAATAACTAGGGTCACAAACAAGCCTCTGTGGTGGCCGTTAACTTAATGGGAAAACCAGTACTTTCTTCAGTACTTTTAGACAACATAACTTTTAACTTAATTTTCTATCATGGCCTTGACCCATAAATGTTATTTAGGTACCCACTTGGTAATTAATAATAAAGTGGCGGACTTCCTTCAGTTTTCCGTTCCGGTGTGGCGTGCAGGTGCTAATACATAAACACCTCATTTGATAGAGTGTTTGATAAAGTTCGCTGAAAAATTTAACGGACACTGATTTATCGATAGTTCCTGTTACAATTTATTTAAAAAAGCCTCAGTAAGCCGGTTACTGGGTCACCAAAGTTGACTTTTACCTAGGTTTGCTAATTATTAATATGCATTTTTATTTGGTATTTGGGTTACAGGAAAACAAAATTAGAATTTTGAATAAAATATGTAAAAGGATGTTTACTGAACATTTAAGCAAAGCCATGAATAAGAAATATATTTTAAAATAGATACCATAGGTCTAGGTATAGTAGGTACCCATACATTTTAAGACTATGATTAAAACAATCATTTTGAAAATTTTAGACAAACCCAATCATGTTTTGATTATATGTCCAGCCTTGTCTTTATTAGGAAGAATCGTTCCAAGAAATTTTGACGCAATTCACTCTTCAGACCTCGGAATAGAAAAGTATCTAAAAACGTAAAATGTAACTAACAATACATTTTATCGATTAGAGTAGGTTTTATTAAATTAAACAAGACTGTAAAGACTAGTTAAATTATGTACCTACTTACTTATTTAAAAACCAGGCGAGAGTGTCCTACACATGACGATCGTAAACGAAGACCCCACCATGGTGAAGTTCCTCCTGGACGCTGGCGCGGATTACCATGAGCGCTGCTTCGGCAACTTCATGTGCCCCGAGGACCAGAAGGCTTCTAGATCCGACTCGCTCGACCACGAATGGGTCAATGTGCAACGCGACACCAATTATATAGGGTAAGCTGGTGTATGAGTAAATATATTAATGCTTCCGATTGATGGCAAATTCAACAAACAGGCGAGTGTCCTACACATGACGATCGTAAAAGAAGTGAATTTTTTATGTGAATGTGTGAATGAAGAATGTGAATGTGAATGAAGAATGTGAATGTGAATGAAGTGCATTTTTATGTGCATGGGTAAGTTCTTAATCGGAGAGAGAGATCGGATCTACGGCGTAGCGAACTTACCTAGAAGGAGCCTATTTACTCTGGCTTGAAAAAGAGTTGGATTATTATGTACTAGGAAACACACTCATGCAGGCAATTCCACTGCTCCGCTGTACGCATTATCAAAAACTGATTAAGAAGCGTTTGGTGTAAAGTGGAGTAACAACAACCAAGAAAGAATGGTAACCTGCCGTGTGCCTGGACATCCGATGGTAGAAGGGGGAAGGCGGAATAAGTTCGTGTTACTCCTCCTCCACCTCGTGTGCTTTTGCAACTTCATGTGCCCCGAGGACCAGAAGACTTATAGGTCCGACTCGCTCGACCACGAGTGGTTCAATGTGCAACGCGACACTTATTATATTATATAGGTTAAGCTAGTGTATGAGTAACCCACCATTTTTTCTTGCTTTTAATTGGTGGCTTATGTCTGCTAATGGATAGATTCACAAAGTAAGCTAAAGCTGGGGCGTAGACTGAATTTTATATTGAACGCTTGTTCTCCCATTTGTTACATCAAAAGAGAAGGCCTGTGTGTGCCCCACAACAGTAATACCATAAGACATTGATACTATTTAACACCATATAATTAACGGAAGAGAAATTGTGGAAATAATATCTCATATCAAAATACACAACTCCAAATGGATGAACAAAGACGATTTTACTTAAAAATACCCTGGTTTTTTTTTTGTAAATCGGTACCACCTACGACCTAAGCACGTATTTTTTCCAGATACGTATACTGGGGCGAATACCCACTAAGTTTCGCAGCGTGTCTTGGACAAGAGGAATGTTACCGGCTTATACTCGCGAGAGGTGCAGACCCTGACAAACAGGATACTAACGGGAACACGGTCCTTCATATGCTTGTGATTTATGAGAAAACGGTAAGATTTGTTTCATGACTGTATGACATAGCAATCATAATGTGAGTGGACGTTGTATTGGTAGCGACCTGATTTTATGTAAATGTTCATAAGAATGGGCGCAACAGACTCATCAGCATTTATCAGATAAATGATAATGAGTCTCTTGCGCCTATTATTCTCATCAGCTAAAACCTGTCCTGAACGAGTGGTAGGAGAAAATATTGAACGATTCAAAGGAGCTTTCAATATGTAAATTTAAATCTATATATATAAAACTTAAAGGTGACTGACTGACTGACATAGTGATCTATTAACGCACAGTCCAAACCACTGGACGGATCGGGCTGAAATTTGGCATGCAGGTAGATGTTATGACGTAGGCATCCGCTAAAAAAGGATTTTGGTCAATTCTACCCCCAACGGGATAAAATAAGGAATGAAAGTTTGTATGAAACTTTGTCAATTTTAAACCGATCTGGCTGAGACTTTGCATGCAGGTATAAGAAAAATCATAGATGAATGTCATTGTGTATAATACAAGTCTGAGAACAAAAACTGTAGTCTACACTTCAGCTCTACACCGAAGCGAAGCGAGGGCGGGCCGCTAGTAAAGTATAATTTAATTTCTCTATTTATAGAACATCTAAATTAAATCAGAGATTAATTTATTCTAGCATTGTGATATAATAACATGAATGAAACGATTAAATTAGTATTTATATATGCGGTTTAGTGTCCGTGACCCCATGGACACTAAAAACGCATATATAAATATTAATTTAATTAGGAGGGTTCCTATTTCATACTTTCTTTTCAATTCTGCATCTGCTAAAAAGGCAATAACATCCATAATATATTATATCCTCAAAACATGTCTTGTTAGCATGAACTTTGACGACCTCCGTGGCCGAGTGGTTTGTACGCCGGGTTTCATGGTGTCGCCGACTCGAGAGGCCCCGGGTTCGAATCCCGGTGGTGGCAGATGTTTGTGTGATGAACACGAGCATTTGTACTCCAGTCATGGATGTTTAATATGTATTTCTATATAAATATGTATTCTATCTGTTACCCTAGCATCCCATAACACAAGCCTTACAGTGCTTACTTTGGGGCTAGGCTAATTGGTGTGAGTGTTGGAAATATTTATTTATTATTATTTATTTACTTATAACTTTAAAACTGTTTTATGTAATAAAAGTGATATTCCCTAGGCACGTAAAGTTTTCGAAGTTTATAAAATCCCATTGTTTGTTTCAATTCTTTTAATCTGTTTCGATGGTAATGAAAAATATATTGCTTGATTGTTAATTAGGAACCATTCTACATATGAATTTTTGATCGTCAACAATACCTACTTCCAGAGCACATTTGACATGGCATACGAAGTGGGAGCCTCCCTAAACATCCGCAATGCATTGAACCTCACGCCCCTCACTCTCGCCGCGAAGCTTGCTCGTACGGAACTCTTCTTCCACATATTGAACATCGAGCGAGAGATCTACTGGCAGATAGGCGCCACCACCTGCGCAGCTTACCCCTTGGGACAAGTCGACACTATAGACACCGAAACGGGGCAGATTAGCAAAGATTCAGCTTTGAACTTAGTCGTTTTTGGTGTGAGTATACTAGTAGAGTATAAGACTTACTTAATTAAGTATTAACTTTCCAAAAAATATGTATAAAGAAAATTGTACAAGAAATAAATCCACGCGGGCCAGGCAGCAGACGGGATTCGAACCCGCACCTTTCGCTATCCGGGTGAATGTACTGACCATTATGCTACCGCGGCCCTGATGGCCGTATCGAATTTTCACTAGCCTTTTTTTGAGGTACAAGACAGCGCCATCTTTTCGCATTGTAGGTAACCCGTATATTACCGTGTCCGCAATGTCAAATGAATACCTTTGTGAAAAAAAAAAATATTTATATTAACTTTAAGTTCGACTTAGTTGACGCTGTGACGTGACTTTATAAAGCATTAAATTATTCTGACGTTTCTGAATAATACGAATATGAATTAATAAAACGTACTACAAAAAGCCCTAGATGCGATTTACGAAATTAAGTTAATTTTGTAACTGCTGGGCAATTTACTCTAGATAATTTACGGTACATTATTAGTAAAATAATATTTAAATTAGTAAACTCGATTACGCTTTGATGCGTGACAATCCGCTATAATAACCTACCTCTATGCCTACCGCTTATAAAAACTCAACTTAATATTCTTAAATCTGGGCTTTAAACGATTTCATTATATTAAGCTAATTAGCTAGCTAAGTCTAATGAACTATTGTTACCTAAGTTAAGTACAATAAAATGAAAATGTTCAAACAGGAAAAATTAAAAAAAAAATAAGCATTTCGCTTTTAGAGGGCATGCTGAAAACTTTCTGGAGATGAAATACAAGTCGCTTGTGAAGTTCCGCTTCTATCATATTGTTCACTTGTTACTGCTAGAACTTTTTGGTGTACTTGTTGTTACCTTAGTACTAACTATTAAATTGAAATATTCAACAGGAAAAAGACGAACATTTAGAACTTCTCGAGGGTATGCTGATAGATCTTCTGAAAACAAAATGGAACTCGTTCGTAAAGTTCCGTTTCTATAGACAGTTCATATTGTTCAGTTGCTACTTTTTGATCTCCTTGGTGTGCTTCACCATGCGACCTGGGTTCCCTGAGAGGGCGGTTAATGCGACAGCCCTCAACTCCACATCGGGACCCAGCATCAACGAGACAGAATTGGTATTAGATGTCGCAGGTAAGACTACTGAAAAAATTCAAATCCTTAAATAATTTAATACTATGTATGTATGTTACGTTAATACACTTTGTTTTCTTTACTTTTTATATCAATAATAGTTAAAGTTTGTGATGTGATTAGCTTTACACTACACTTATTATTCGAGTTGAAATTTTACTACTAATAATAGGGTGATGACTATTTTTTTTCTTTGTTTATCAGGTAGATTATCAAAAAGTATTGGACACGTATTTTTTCTTTTTTCACATAATATAAACATTGCAGAGACATATTAATTTGAAAAGTCGCATGACGTCACGTTTGAGTACACTTTGAAGTGAAAATTCACTAAAAAGTGACGTCACGAGCCCCTACTCCCAAACTTTGACGCGCTCCACTGGACAGTCCGTGGCCACCAAAGTGGCCATGAGCACGCACCCCTCAACAGTCCGTGGCCACTTTGGTTGCCACGTTCGAATTTCCGCGCGGCCTGCTCTTTTTCTACAGACTATAACGAATACTTGTATTTATGGACCTCAAGCCAGCTATGCACAGTATCTTTATGATATTTGTAACGTACTGGTATCACCGGAACACCCTAGTCTGCTTTGGAAAAAATTAAAAAAAAAAACTGACACAATATTTTCTTTCGTAAATTATGATCAAGTAAAGTGATAACGTGCTGCTTTTAGTGTTGAAATATGCCGTAAGTACCTTTTTATCTTTGTTATATTATATATCCAGATATTTGTGATAATACAGGCTTTCATATTTTCAAAAGATTATCACGAGCAAAATGATCCGAAAATTATAAACTTAACCTGAAGATTTGTTGATAGAAAAAAATAAACATTCGGCGGATTTCAATGGCGTATAATTAATAGTTAAATACTAAATTGTTATTGATTATTGATAAATTACGTCATGTAATTAATTAAAAAACTTATTTCAATAGTTAAAATCAAGTAAACATATAAGTTAGCACTAGATTCATGTATTTTGTGACGGGTATTGTTCATTGTTTACCGATGAGTCACCGATGACGTAATAGCTACTATGTACTGTTAGTAAATAAGGGTCGTTACAGATAACAATTTTAAATTGCTTTTTTTATCTGGAGTGTGCTTATAATTATGTGGTAGTTTGTTTGTGCGTTTGTAAATTTTTAGATTGGGAACGAAAATTATTACCAAGTGTTTTTTGTAAAATATTAATGAAATCTTTTTTTTAATTGCTATGTATGTATGTATGTTTGTTCGGTTAGAATCTTGCAACTCAATTTTGAAGCAGTTGTTTTCATTTGATTGAGCTGAAATTTTGTACACACGTTTAGTTTGGATGATAATGCATGGTGAGCTGTGTGACGTCATTCTAAATCCTATATTGCGGAACATACAAGATAGCGGACTAGCTATTTTCGATGCACTCCTACAATATGGGTATCAAATGAAAGGGCATGATGAGAAAAAAAATAAAGTGACGTCACTTTAAATCCAATATGGCGGACAAAGTTTTTTTATGTTTTGCTACAATATGGGTATCAAATGAAAGGGCTTGCTGAGAATAACTCGATAAATAAAGTGACGTCACTTTAAATCCAATATGGCGGACAAAGTTTTTTTATGTTTTGCTACAATATGGGTATCAAATGAAAGGGCTTGCTGAGAATAACTCGATAAATAAAGTGACGTCAACTTAATTCAATACCGCTTTTTTATACTGCTAAGTTTTTTATGCTTTCCTAAAGGGCATCAAATAAAAAAAAACTAGCTAGATATGTGGGTTTTAAAGTTCTCGATTATGTGGATCTTTAAACTAAAAAAACTTCAAAACAAGCTTTTTTTACTCTTAGCTATGTTTTGTGGTCTACTTTTACTCATGTGATTAAAGGAGGTGGTTTGTTTGTTCATATTTTTTTTGTTGTGGACGCGATTTTTTTTTGCTTTTCTAATTTTAATAAATATATAACTGTCTTTCAGATTTCGCACCTAATGACAGTTGCGACAGGCCGGCCCAATAAGGAGAAAGCAACCAACATCCTGATCATCTGCATGAAGATAAAATATAATATATATATATATATATATATATATATATATAGGGGGATGAAAAATAGTTGTTGTTCGATTCTCAGACCTACTGAATATGCAAATAAAATTTCACGAAAATCGGTCGAGCCGTATCGGAGTAGTTCAATAACGCACACCGTGACACGAGAATTTTATATATTATATATATATATATATATATATATATATATATACACATAAATAATATACATATATATAGTAGGTATATTTATTAAAAATAAAAAAAATATAAAATATTGAATTCTTTTCATTTAGAAGTAACCTACTCGGCTACTACGCAAAGTCCGTATTGAGCCTTAGGAACGGCGGCCATCTTGTGAATATTTCCGTCGCCCGAAATGGCCGAAGCCGTGGTGGATGAGAAGTCGACAGGATGTTAGATTTTGCTTTACTGAAAAGGATACAGACTGAATTAAAAAAAAGTTATTGATACCATTAGAAAGGTAGTTAAATTTCCTGCATTTTGAGATCAACTAATTTTGACATTTTCGTAATTAACATTAGGAAATAGGCGTTTAATTTTAAAAGTTTATTAAAAATTGACTTTTTGTTGGGTTCAACCCGCTCTATTTAATCGTTTTTCGAGTTACAGAGATCCAAGTGTTCTGTAGTAGATTCTTTATTTAATCAGCTTTACGGTAGTATTTTTTGTTTGGTCCTAGCTTCAGTATTTAGCGAGAAAATGGCATTTCTTACTAAAAGTCCGGAATGACCGACATTTTTCGCTTCGCTTCGCGCCGCTTGGACTGTTAGAGCGGCTGCTTTGGTTGCCACGGACTGTCCGGTGCTTTGTCATTTTTTGGTTGATTACCCAAAGAAAAAATATGTGTCCATTATTTTTTGATCACCTAACTGACGGACTAAATAGAATTTCGTTTAATGAACCCCGTCATCACCCCTATTGGTTTAATATAATTTTTAAACTCTTTATGCTTTAGTCTCTGATCGTTTTCAGATAATTGCACCTTGCATCTGAACAGTACTGATTTTGATGCTGGTCCCGTGGAGATGATCAACGGGACGAAACCTGACGGCCCAATGTGCGCAAAGTTCAAGAGCCATACAAAAGAAAAAGATAAACGTTAGTTGTCAATTTTCCCATAATTCTTCTTTTGCTTCTCCCATTTTGCTCTGAGATTGTAAGAAAATCTTTCCCATAAGGGAACAGCCAAGGGTATACAGGAAATTAAGTGTTTAAAATACTCAGTACCCTAGTCCTTGATTTAGAACAAATTTACTTTCATCGCCTATGGTCAATGATATCACTTCATGTATATTATTATTTTGAAGGATGACTTACGCTCATTGGCTTTTGTTTTGGCTCTGTGTTACCTAGTGCATAGAGTGACCGCACCTATTTACGCTACCACAAGAGTAGCACTGAATATTAACTATAGACTGGATTAGTAATGTAGTAGATACAGTAGTCATTCAAATATAACAATGCTTTATCTGTAATAATAGCTTCAAGAGCCTTTTTAACTTAGTTTGGCATAGAAATCGTTACAGATTTCTTTGCTTTTAGCGACAGAAGCTCCGAGGGAGACGGATATGGAAGGCTGGTGGGAAGACCTCACAGGCGAGTGCAGGCTGATGGACTTCGAATCCTGGCAGGCTAAAGTAAACATTGTTTCTTCAACAAGTTCCTCGTTCCAAGAGTATTTAATGTAAACTAAGCTATTCGTCCCGGCCGCATCTGCAGTCAAAAGCACCTACTAATTTGCATAGGGCTCTGACTACATGAGCATTAGTGAGGCTTCATGGCTTAAAACGGGAGGCGGGTTATGTTTTTTCCATACAAACGTTCTCGACAGATTCCTCCTTGATTTTGATTACTAAAAAAATTTTATTCATACGTGAAATAAAATTATGCTCATTCTATGCGCCTATGTCTTCCTTTTTCGATAACTTGAGTTTCAAAGAAACTAGAAGTTCATATACCAGAAATATACAAATTTTTATTACCACTAAAGGTGTCTAGTGTGCTTCTGTTTTTTTTTGTAAATGCATATTGTGGGTATTCAGTAAGCATCTACGTTATAAAAAAGGAAACATAGAAGCATAGTATAACTTCTTATTATTGTATGGGAAATATTTCTGTTACATTATATCTCATTTGCAAGGAGGAAAACGTTCAGACTCAAACTTTGAATTCTGCCAATTTTATACGCAATTTTCAGCGTTAGCTACTATCGCATGGTGTTTGCCAATACGCGACACAAAAAGTTTTTCAAATACTTATTTCTTAAAATTTTCAGCTCGTGTCCACTCTTAAGTATTCTCCATATTTCATCCTGTGCTCCAGCGGTGGGCATATTAATAGGTTGATGATGTGATGATAGGTTAGAGTCACGGCTGAACTGCTGCTTTGGTTGGGGGCGCTAGCGTATATCGGGGCCGCTTTGCGAGAAGCCAGATTCTTGGGGCTCAAGATGTTCATAGAGAACTTGAGTACGGTGCCTTCGAGGTAGGAAAATATACTACTATTACTATTATTAGTTTCAAGTCTTAAAAGTTCAATGATTTGTAATGCGTTTTTGAAACTTCTTTAGGTACGCTTGAAACGACGAACGCACGAAACTGGCATATGTTTTACGATTTCGCGTTACGCGACTCATCGGTAAACAATGGTCAATACCCGTCACAAAGTACATGAATCTGAATCTAGTGCTTGGTGGGTGATAACGGACCCAGCGCGGGTTGGTGGGTGATAACGGACCCAGCGCGGATTGGTAGGTGATAATGGACCCAGTGCGGATTAGAGGGTGATAACGGAGCCAGCGCGGATTGGTGGTTTTTTTTTCTATCAACAAATCTACAGGTTAAGTTTACGATTTTCAGATCATTGGAGCCAAAGAAGTTTCACTTCAGTCGTGTGGTCACGAACACACTCGCTTTTTTTATCAGCCGAGTATTTCATATTGGTTTAACAATAAATGTTTTATAAATTTTGAAGTGGAAATTATTGACGGAATTGTTTCTTCTAAATGTACAATCGTAAATTTTCTTAATAATACGTAAATAAATTTAATTACAATTAGGGGTTTGCTTTTGAAAGGGATTAATTCTGCCACGATTTTCTAAAACGGGCCGCACACCAGATATACAATGGTATTGTGGCGCCACATTTAAAACGCGACACGTTTAATGCCCTCATATAAAATAACTGCGAGTTACTGAGGCCGCACACCGGAGCCACGGAGTACATGCACGCAACATTTACGTCGCAACAATTTGCATGCTACATTTTTGTGTATGTCTCGCTACAGTCTGCAAACACTACAAATGTGTCCTTGGTGTGCATGCTTACGCGCAGATATATAAGCACGCGAAAACACACAGAAGCCGGAGACGAAGCAGAGTCGGAGACGATTTTTTAATAGTTCGAATTAGTACACACACAAACCAAAGCGGGGCGGTACGGCGGCGGGGCGGTTGCGTGCGCCGTGACCGTTGTATTCCTTAAAGTGATGAAGTTAGTTCACACGGAGCGACGGCACTTACACACACTAAGGACACATTTGTAGCGGGTGCATTTAGTAGCGAGGCGAAAGCAAAAATGTAGCGTGCATATTGTGGAAAGGTAAATGTTGCGTGCATGTACATTGTGACTCCTCGTAAGCGGCCTCACTAAGTTAAGACTTTTGTCAAGAGATTGTTTTGTAGAGTATGATAACTTGATATGGTTTGAAGCTTAGTTCTTGGCTTAAAGAACCAAGCCACAAATAACATAAAAAATGATATAACCTTTTGGGGTGAGACAACGATTTTGTTGATAGAGTATAGATATAAGGTTGGAGAAATTTAGTTTGAGGTTTAGGTAATCAAGCTAATAAACATAAGAAGGCATTAAAATAGATAATTTTGATAGGGTGAAACAGATCGTAAGATAAAATAGAAACCTGTGTGTATAATTAATACATAAACTATCCCATTCGGTTAGAGATCAAAAAAGGCATTTAGAAAAGTAGCAGAAATTTGAATATCATTTAAATATTACTGCGACGTATTTTTAAGTACCGATGTGATAGATTTGCACATATTAAATTAGCATTAGAGGATATACGCCGCTATACTGCGATATATAATGCGTGACGACCAATGCATAAATCAATTATTTATCTTTATTTAAAACAGCACATAAATTTCATAGATGACATATGCATTAGCTATTGTGAAAGTTTTCGATTCTATTTGTCCTTTAATGCAGTTTTATAAAGTGCATATTTTAAGAAACTGCCCGTTTCTCATTTAGGTACGTACAAAATTAACAAAATACATATTCACAATATTTATGTCTGTCATAAGCTCGAGCTCGATGACGCAAGTGGTTAGCGCGTTCAGCTGCGATTGTCGAAGTTAAGCAACTTTCGCAGTGGTCGGGAATTGGATGGGTGACCAAAAATTTATTATCTCGAGCTCCTGTGTGCTTCAGAAGGCACGTTAAGCTGTTGGTCCCGGCTGCATCTGCAGTCGTTAGTACCTATTAATCCGCACTGGGCCCGCGTGATGGCACATGACCTAATCTCCCTATCCTATCCATAGGGAAGGCCTGTACCCCAGCAGTGGGGACGAAATATTAAAGAAGAGATTAAAACAAATAAATTTAAGTTAATGCTAAATGAATATCTTGTTAAAAAATGATTTTATTCACTGCAAGAATTTTTAAATGAATAATCTTAATAAATTATTAATAATTAATAAATAGTGATGATTATTAATAAATAATGATAATAACCGAATAATGATAATTTTTAAATAGTGACAATCAATTAATAATGTTAATATAGAATACGTACAGGATGTTGAGAAAATGTTTATGTTTAGTTAGTATTTTGCAATGCCCTAGCAGGGTCACGTTTGTATCTATTAATTATAAATTTCTATCTAAGATCAATGTATCAACATGGTGCAATAAAGGATTTGATTTGATTTGGACATTAATAGGCTGATGATAATGATATCTGTCATAGGGTTTTGCAACTTTGCAGTGCTGCCGACTTTTCAGGAATTTTTGAGGGGTTTTGTGTTCTTGCAGAGTAATGTTCCTGTTTTCGTGCCTACTAATGATTGCGATGCCAACTTTGAGGCTTTGGTGTGCGGACGAAGCTGAGGATCATCTCGCAGTTATCATTATGCTTACAACTGCTCCCTACTTCTTGTTCTTCTGTCGGTGGGTAGATACAATACGTTAAGATAATTCGGTGTCATTGGTTGCATTAAGGGTACAATTGATAAAGATATTTTTGTTGACACTTAAAAGCTTTGAAGTTCCACTAAAAAAAAAATAATCATAATCAGTTGCTCCTTTTAATGAAATAGTTAGGTCAACAAAGGAATTTAAAATAGTATTGTTATTGTTTATTTGAACTGTGAAAGAGTTACCTAGTAGATCAATTACAACTAGAAAAACCAATAGCTCCGGTTAAACAGTAAAAAAATAAAATTTAACTACAAAGTACTTTTTTGCTTTTGCAATAAATTCGAGCCTTCTCTTTTGCATACAATAATAACTTAGGATACATATTTAGCTAAAATGCGCTCTGTTTCAGTGGATTCAAAACTGTGGGTCCTTTCGTAGTAATGATATATCGAATGGTGATGGGAGATCTTCTACGGTTTGTTTGCATTTACCTCGTATTCGTCATGGGATTTTCACAAGGTATGTACACTAAAAGCTAGAGATATATGAAATATAATTACCTACACTAAATGTAGTTCAAATTAAAAAAAAAGCGAGTGTGCTTATGACTACACGACTGAAGTGAAACTTCTTTAGCTCCATCTGTATATACATCCATATATATATATATATGTACCCATATATATAACATATATATATATATATATGGGTGACACTTTCCGTAACGCCTAACTCGTAACGCATTCGCCAGTTTACCCCCGAAGTGCATGTTTTACTTCAAATATCGTTTTTACTGTTTAAATATGCTATCTACGCAACCGCTACTAGGACTTACCGATGTTTTAATTATTAAGTAATTGAATTGGTGTTTACATACGTATATTATACTTTTTATGGATTATCATCATTCTTTCAGCTTACTACATAATCTTCTTATCGTTCGACAATCCCAATACACCAGAGGGCGTGGATGACTCGGTATCGAACCCCATGCCTTCACCCATGGAGAGTATAATGGCCATGTTCCTAATGTCTCTTACATCCTTTTCTGATTACTACGGAGCCTTTGAGCGCACTGACCATGAAATCGAAGCGAAGGTTAGTTGGAAAATATATTGTCAGATACTTTTGGTTGTCAAAACTTTTTTTTATCAGTTGCCTCTTTTGACGCGAAAAACCATGTCGGAACAAAAAATTTTAACAACGGAACGATAGAACTGGTTTGATATGGTAAAGATTGGTATTTACAATGGTGAACAGGGCAACGTAATCGTTTATTAAAGACTTTCAACGATTGTACAAAGAGGAGGTTGAATTAAGTTAGTTAGTCATTTCTAGTAATTTCGTTTTTTAAATTCTGAGAAATTTACATTTTGTTTTAAACGTTCCTGATGACTAGTTATAAGCGGGATTGTTACCAGGTCCTTATTTGTTTTGAGAATGCACAATATATCTCAAACACATTAAAATTATAATATTTACGCTACGTACTGAGATGTTTGCTTTCATTACAGCTGTTATTCGTAGTGTACATGATAATAGTGGCGATCCTGCTAGTGAACATGTTAATCGCCATGATGGGTAACACTTATCAGAAGATAGCGGAGACACGTAATGAATGGCAAAGGCAATGGGCTAGGATCGTATTGGTAGTAGAGAGAGGTGTGCCACCTGGGCATAGACTCAAGCAACTGATGGCGTACAGCCAACCGATGGCTAACGGGAAGAGAGCGCTGGTACTGAGGATAAATCAGAAGGTATAGTATCTATGGCATTACTGGTAGTAGAGAGAGGAGTACCACCTTTTTTCGGTGGCGGGGAGCAAAAACGCATTGCCCATACACTCAAGCATCTGGTGGCGTACAACCAACCGATGGCTAACGGGAAGAGAGCGCTGGTACTGAGGATAAATCAGAAGGTATAGTATTTATAGCATTACCGGTAGAAAAGGGAGGATTGCCGCCGGGGCATAGACTAATGGCGTATAGCCTACCGATGGCTAACGGGTAGAAGGCGGTGGTGATTAGGATAAATCAGAAGGTATAGTATCTATAGCATTACTGGTAGAAGAGGGAGAATTGCCGCCTGGGCATAGACTGATGGCGTACAGCCTACCAATGGCTAACGGGTAGAAGGCGGTGGTGCTTAGGATAAATCAGATGGTATATTTGTATCTAAAGCATTTCTGGTAGTAGAGAGACACTCCAGCAAGTGATGGCGTACAGCCAACCGATGGCTAACGGGAAGAGAGCACTAGTGCTCAGAATAAATCAGAAGGTATATTGTACCTAAAACATTTCTGGTAGTAGAGAGACACTCCAGCAAGTGATGGCGTACAGCCAACCGATGGCTAACGGGAAGAAAGCACTGGTGCTCAGAATAAATTAGAAGGTATATCATGTATGTAATTTGGGGTTTTCTTAATACTGGTCGTACAGACTAATGACAGAATGGTCGTGGTCATGCCTCTGCTATCCATGCTTTCGCGATACTTCATCATGCACAGTGTGATTCGAACTTAATGGTAGCTGTGAAACTAGCGCAAGTCACAATGCAGTAAACGAAATGTAGGGTGATGTAAGGATGCAGGATGCCACTGAACTGAAACCTGCGTATAGTTGCCCTCGCTTCTAACTTCACAACCACAAAGTTTGGGTCGCACTATAAGCTTGATGTTATGCAGAGTGAGAGCAATCATTAACGCTTGAACACCACTCCATTATGATCAGGTCTGTCCATAGTGTAGAAGAACACCCGCGATATCTTTTGCTCTCGATGAGGATTACAAGTACCGGATATTGAAAGGGACTTCAGGAACTGTTATATCACATAACAGTTACAAAGCAAAAAAATGTATTGACTGAAGTTTATATGGTTACTGGCGGCTGCCCGCGACTTCGTTTGCGAGGTTTCTTTGTATTACATTCCAAGTATTCAAGAATTGTGTGTTAAAGATAATTGTAAACATAAACTTAAGAAATATTTGTTATAGCGAATCGTTGTTGTAAAAAGATAAACCCATCTTTAAGGGTTTTAGACACAGTCATTGTATATTAAAATATAATGTTTTTATTGAATAAATAAATAAATAATAATAATAATTGATTTCTATGATTTCTGGGATAAAAACTATCTTTTGTGTTTTCCCCGGAACTCGAATATTTTCTATTTAATTCTTTAGAGAATTTCATCTAAATCGGTTCTGTGGTTTAAGCGTGCAGAGGTAGACATACTCGCATTTACTATTTTTTTTTCTTTTCCTTTACCAGGATGAAGATAAGGAAGAAATGAAAGAGATCCTAGAAATGAAAAGGACGCACGAACGCATTGTAGCTAAAAGAAAGCAAAGGGAAGAGGAAGTAAAAGGAATGAAGGGTCGTCTACCACCACCACCTCCCGTTAGAGATTATCCTATCCGAAAATAAAACACGTACCATTTTTTTTCTTAAATGGCTTCGCACGGCTTGTGCATTTAGTCAATATCAAGTGTTAAAAATGTTTAAAAATTCGCACTCGTGGTCAAAGTAATAAATCAAGTCAAAGTGGCAGTTAAGTCAATCCCCTTTCCCTATGTTTCAGTAAATGTGTGGGGATTTACTGGAACCTTCCCTTGGACTGTTTGAGGGAACGTCGAAAGACACTTTTCGCTATTTTGTTTCACTTGCCAACACTTGTGCATGTTTCCGAACACTTAGTGGTTAATAATCTACCATTATTAGACCTACATCCGCCACAACACAATTTTTAACAAGAAAAACAAAACTGCTGAAGTGACGCTTCCCGTACGCTTCCCGTTGTTACGCACGTGACTGGAAATGGAAGTAATATTTCCGGTGTCAGTGTTTCCTGAAGTTCTGGACAATAGGACAGATCTCTCCCAGGTTAGCCTTGAAGATCCACTCTAGAGTGGATGGGCAACTTTTAGACAAGCCAGCTCCGTCATCGACAGTTTGAGCTTTGAGTGTCATTAATGAAGCTAATATTTTTTACATTTGTTTTAATAAGAAAATATGCATACATGAGTTAAACTACATAATTGTTGTTTACCGGGTCGACGACTCCTACATTTGTAGTTATATTTTATCGTAACAGATAATAAAGTTAACTGTATTATATGAAGGAAATCCACAGCTATAGTACGTAATACGTATGTGTTTCTAATTTGTTCATAAGTTTTAAAAGTTTTAAGTAGGTACCTATTAAATATAAAACTGCGACGAATCTATATTCTGTGTTTTTTATTTATTTACTAATAACAAGGTACACGTAATTTTCCAGTAACATATTAAGGCTATTTTTGCTAATCGTAATTGATTAACAAACTTAACCTAACATTAATTTTCAATTTCTTAGATTAAAATAATTATCGTACTTAAATATACCTACTATGATTGTGATAGTTTGTATACTTGTTACTGAATCACGAAAAAACGACTGAATGGATTTGGATGAAATTTGGTATACATACTTTATATTACATGGATTAGACAACATATAAGATACTTTTTACTTATGAAATAAATAAACATTATTAAAAATATTATTTTTATCACGGAAAATTTTACGGTTACTATAAGAAAATATTTGTGTACTAACGCCCAGTATACTCAACTCTGTGTGACCAATCTATGTAAGTTATAACTAAAATTCATATGTCAATAAATAGTGCCCAAACATTAAATATTTCGAGACATATACTCCTTATTTAGTGAGTATGCGTAGTTACTACGCCTAGCATACGAATACATAGTTGAGGGTTTTAATATCTTTGGTTAAGCCACATATCGAAAAAACGGGTCCCAAATTTAAGCCCATGACTGATGCGTATAAATAGTATATAACAGTATACTATACTAAGTACAAAATAGGCCACACAATTTCGCCACATGATCTTTTTCAGAGCAAACACATGTACACCTACTTTAAATGGATACCTTGTAATAATTCGACAAGTTAACATTTTATTTACACAAGGTTTATGTGGAAATTGTTATCTAATGAAAGCGTATTCAGGGTTACCTAATCTGAAAATAAAATATTAACTCTTGTGAATACGGCATCTGCCTGGTAACAATTCGCAATGACGACAATATTTACGTTTATAAATTCGTCATATTTTTTACATTTCAATGTTAAGTTTGGTGTCAAAATTACGTAACATTAAATTTATGTTGACTAATATGTTATATTAGAAGGTATATCATATCATTTTCTTAGTTTACATTAATTATATTAATTAATGTAAACTAAGAAACTTTACATTAATACATGAATATTTTTTGTTTTAATATCCATGTATGTAAATTGGATAGCCATCATCCCTAATTATTCAATTTCTTCTTTCGCTTTCCTTATGAAAATAGGCAGCCCTGTGTTTATTGTTAAAATTGTCAGTTAGGCGTAGGTGAAAATTGTGGTGTGTTAGGCCTCTGTGCTGTGCCTCTGGTTGGTTTCACTGTTACCTCACTGTTTACCTCCGACCTCTAACTGGGCTGGTTACTAGTAGGTAGTTGACCAAACACTAGGCAAAGTTGGCACAGCCCAAACATTTGTTCGATAAACACTTTGTCCCGTCGAGTGGTATTCATTTCTTTCATCAACTCCGCTGTTATTTTTAAACTCATGATTGACAAATCTAAAACAAACAGGTTTGCCTTCCAAAGTCGTAACTTTGATGGTTATTGGTCTTTGATTTGACACTTCGAACAGTAGCATCAATGATTTGGTAAGGGCATGATTAAATTGGGCAGATAAGAGGTGTCTTATTAAGACCCCATCAACTTGTTTTTTCTTAAATATTCATCAAAGGTTAGATAACGCTCTTAATCGGTGAATCAGTTTAGAAATATGGCACATATGTGTTGGAGTTGGTAATTGTTAAAATTTATTATCTACACTAATGGATATTATATAAATATCACTGGTAGTTAACATTTTGAATATTCATGTGAGCTTATTGTCACTTATATTATTGTTAGTAAAGTTACCCAATTAAAGTTTGCAGTAACGAGAACTCATCAATATGTTGTCTCAGAGAAATTGCTTTCTATGGCGAAGTTGATTTTATTTTCGTTAGAAAGCTCGTTTGTATTAGAACTACCTTTTGTTTGTTTTGAATATTGGAAATGATTGCCCACGTGCTACTCTGTTACATGGTAACGAAATCTCAAGCGTACAGCCAAGGAGTTTCTCTGACACAAGAAGTTTTTAATGAATAATACCTGATTCATTTTATCTGTTACCTTAGATACCTATCAGTTACGTAAACAATAGAAGTTAAAACGTTCAAAGATTCTGTAATCTACGATTACCGAGTTGTATGCAACGTGCATATTTTGCGGGCAATGTCTTTTCAAATTATAACTATAGAAATACCTGAGCGTTGCTTTTTCACAATTTGCTCTTAGAAAGGTATCTGTGCCGTTAATACAATAAGTGTTTTGCTACGAGAACTAAAAGTAGTACGAAACTATAATATATCATTGGTCAGGTGTTGAGTGTTGACTAATATACAGACCATATGGAATTCAAGAACTACTTATGGTTGCACAACATTGCCTGCATAAGTTATGAAGTAGGTGATGAATACCTATCTTCTCAACAACAAAAAAATTAAGATGAATTTAAGAAGGTCCAATGGACACCAAAAAAGAGGTCCAATGGGCACTTTTTGCTTTTGGGTCGAATCTTGAGGGTCCAACGGGTACTAGACCAATTTAATTACTATATTTTGCCGCCCGAAATTGTTCTAATTACAAATCTGAGGTTTATTAAAAATGGGTTGTAATGTTATCGTCATATCGATTCTCTAAAATCAAAAAGGAGGTAGGTTTCAAGTTGCATTCATTGACAACGAGTGACTCAGACGACGGATTAAAGTACCGCGTACAAAAGTTCCCTGAATAACCGAGGACACCGAGGGGCTAAACAGGACAAAATTACGCGTGTGTCCCCGAAAAAAAAAATAGAACTCATGTGACTAGGCGCGGCAACGCACATTTCGAACTTTAGTTCGCGTTGTGCACTCGATCTGATTTCAAGGAATGGATCTAGTTTGCTCTTTTAAAATGTCTTCTCTTTGTTTTTAAACTTCATGTTTATTACAATACATCGTAGTCTAAACATATTGAAAGAAAATTTTACTAGAAAAAAAAAGTCCGCTGCTTGGGTGCGCGGATTTTCATCTAGTAAAATTTTCTTTAGATTCAAACTTTTAGCTGCAGTTAAACGCTTAAAAAATAAAAAAAAATATCTAGATACATTTACTTAGATAATGTGCGTGTTTTCAAAATTTCCTGGGGCTAAAATATGTTCGCACATTGTGTGTCTGTGACAAGTCATCACGTTTCAGGGAATTTTATGAGTATCCTGCGCGGACAAGTGCTTCGTCTGCGAAAAGATGCTAATGTGACCATCTCAAATATATACGAATATAGTGGCATTAATAAACAGGTTATCTGTAAAATATGTTAAATACTAGAGAAAAACAAAATAACAAGGTTAGTGCCTTGTATTTTTTTAGATGATAGATTTAGATACTTAAAATAAAAATTTAGTAATTTAAAATACAAAAAACTGTCACTAAAAAATAACTAATAGAAAAATATAACAAATAATAATTTTTAATGTTTTAAGTGTAGGTACACGCGACATGTATGTCTCTCCTATCGCAGGTGGACTGGAAGAGATTTCTTCGAGAAATAAGCCACACCTTTTGTTCGTAATTATTTAAGTTGTGTATTTTTTATGTATTTTTTATTTCGACTACATTAAATTATTAAATAAATAAATATAGGTTTTATTTTGTCCGTCTGTCCCTTCGTCTGTATGTCTGTTAAAACCCTTTATCTCAGCAACGGGATCTGAATTTGTAACTTTATAATATAGAGTTTTTGTCACAATTTTAAGGGACCATAAACCTATTATGGTCCCTTAAAATTGTGACAAAAACAAACTTCTAAGTTAACGGGAATAAAGATGCGGCCGTTTATGTTGCGTACCTACAAATTTATACGGAACCATTGGTGGGTGAGTTTGCTTCGCAGTTGTCCAGTTTTTTTGGGTTCCGTACCTCAAAAGGAAAAAACGGAACCCTTATAGGATCACTTTGTTGTCCGTCTGTCTGTCAAGACAGTTTCTTTCAGAAACGCGTGGAGGTATCAAACTGAAATTCATATGTAATACTCATGTCTACTGTCTCTTGGAGCTGTGAAAAAATCAAACTTCTAAGCCCAAGCAATCAAAAGATACAGCCGTTAATGCCGCACCGCAAATTTTCGAAACTCGCACGGGAATCAAAACCTACAGGGTACTTCCCGTGAACTGAAATTTGGTACGAAGTAACGTCTTATAGTACAGATAAAGGAAAAATTGCGAAAACCGTAAATTTTTAGTTACATCATATAATAAAAAATATTTTTGAAAGTTTCAAAGTTACTACCTCTTTTCTCATGAACGCGTAGAGGTATAAAATTGAGTTTGTACGGAACCCTCGGTACGCGAGTCCGACTCGTACTTGGGCAGTTTTACCTTTTTAGATAAACATTTTTAACGGTAGTCTAGTTGATAAATTTTATTTTTTTAATATTTCAACAGGCATCGTGTATTTCCCAAAAGAACATCATAACTGAACTGAGCCGAAAACTCTAATCCCACAGAACTTACATAAGCGACTGAAATTCGCAATGAGTGCAAATGCGATACCTTACTTCAGAGGTCACAGCCACAGTCAACACAACAATACTGCACCATCGTATAAATAAATAAATTACCTACTGAAGTCTTCTGAAATTGTTTACGCTGACACACTTATGTATACTAACACACAGCTAATAGTCTACTAAGTGACGCATTTGTGCAATCGTCACACTGTCTCATCAGAAGCTCGAAGTGGTGGTCAGTATAAAACTTAAGGAACCAGCAGTTCTCACACATTGCCACACAGCCGCAGCCATGAGGTGCGTCGCGGTAAGTAACTACATCAAAGCCAAAGAGAAATTAACAAACAGATCGCGATAAACAGGTTCTCTCACAAGTCGATGTTTGTCATTAACATTTATTTGGACAGCTAGATTGAAAATCACGGCGTTTATTAGCTCACGACGTTGACTTTTAATTTTTAGAAAATGTGCATTATTTTTATTAAGTTAGTTTTATGTGTAAAGTCTAGACTTTTATTATAACTAAACTGTCACTAATTGTTTTGTTACAGGTAGCATTAGTGTCTTTAATCTCAGCGATTGTCGCGGAAGCCCCGTACCACTTACCGAGGCCTGCACCGCACGCACCAAGTTTTAACTTCCAGCAGGGGGTTCCCCGACCACCCCCGCCACCACCGTTTCGTCCGCAGCCACAGCCGAACTTCGGCCAAGGATCCGGTTATGCCTACCAGCAACCAAGCATTCAGCCGGCCTTTGTGCAACCCGCACCACAGTACCAACTGCCTCCTCAACCTCAATATCAACCTGCACCACAGCTTCAATACCAACCTGCACCACAGCTGCAATACCAACCCGCTCCTCAAATCCAATACCAACCCCAACCAGTCTTTCAACCCGCCCCCGCGCCTCTCCCTGTGTCGTATCCCCAACCGATTAACATCCCAAGCGGCTCCTATGGTGTTCCCCAACCACAGGTAGCACGTCCATCTATCCCACAACTACTTCCCGCCTACATCCAATCCCAACCTCAACCCATTTCCTACAACCAAAAGTATCAGCAGTCTTCCTCTCAAGGAGGATACTCGTACTCACAACCTCTTTCCCAATCCATCCAAGCAACATCAAACCTGCCCTTGCAATCTCAAGCTCTGAGCATCAATAGCGGCTCTTCAGGCTTGTCCAGCTACCAAGCAGACTCCAACCTATACAATGGCGCACAAGGGCAGGTTCATAGAGAAGCTCTCGACTCCGTGGTGGTGGATCACTTGCAGAACATCATAAAGGAGAATGAACACTCTACAGCAAAACAGGCGGGATATTTGTCTTTGGTGTCAGGAATATCCCTCGAAAATGCCAAACCAAGCGTGGAGGTATCATCATTTGTACATTCATCACCTTTGAACAGCGGCGTGGGCTCGTCGTCAATAGAATTAGTGTCTAATGAAGGCGGAGTCTCAGCACCTTCATCAGGCTATGGCTTACCCACCATCACAGCCAACAGTCAAGGAGATTCTAGTGTAGCCTTCTTACCCAGTGCAAAACCTTTTTCCACATATGGCCCACCCAACTGACAGGACAATGTTCCACAAAAATTATGTAAATAGCCTCTTTTGTAAGACTAATGTTAATATATTGTACAAAAATGCATTAGCATTAATGTGAAAACTTATTTAATAAGATAAAAAAAAGTAACAAAGAAATTGTATTTTTATTAATGAGTTTGTAGCTCAAATTATGGTAGAATGTAACCGTGAAAATTAACACCCAGGACGCTCTTCCTTCAATTTATCAGCGTAAATAATTTTCATAAAGTGTGGATACTTTTGTACACCGTCCCTCACCTAAAAATATAGGAATCGTAAGGTTAGCTGATATTGGAAAATGAACTAACTTTCCCTATACATACATTTTTCACAAGTTATAATAGCACCATTTCATTACATTAATTCGTGAAGGAAAAACTTTTTTCATCCCACCACCTCGGAAAGTGTAATTTTGCGCTTCGAAATCTGGCTGGAAAATTCTATTTTATTCGCTTGAGCGGCAAAGTAGATTTGAATTTAGAACATCACATATAATGAGTACTCAATATAATTGTAAATTCAAAACGTCATTAAACCTATTTAATGTAACCTCTATGGTGCCAAATTTATGATTAGAACTTTTTAAATTGTGAAAAAATTTAAATTTGGAACCTTCTTGGTTTCTTTGTTTTATTTGCGTGCTTCGCGCCATTCTAGTTTTTCACGTTTTATTGCTTAAATATTTTGTCATTATAAATTGTTTTCTTTTTCATTTTGTCATTTCCTCGCTGAGGTGGGATGAAAAGTTACGTATTGCACTCGAGTGGAAAGATTTTTCACCTTGTGCTCGTTTGTTTCCCTCGCTGACGCTCAGGATTCTAATTTAGAATCACTCGCTGCGCTCGTGATTCAACTTTAGAATCCTTCGCTTGCTCGGTCATCCAAATCGAGCACGCGGTTAAAAAGGAACTTTCCACTCTTGTATAATAAATAACTATTCCTGTATACTTATACTTTTTAAGGTAGATTTTGCGCACGACAAGACTGTCAGATTTTTATTTATGGAGGATTACAGAAAGGGAATATTTCTTATAATGCATTATAAATACAGGAAATTCAAAAGAACAACATTACACTCGCTATCATGCATTTGACACACTAAATGACTTGAGAAAAGTATCAATAAGGTAAAAAAATTTTGACATTTCGTGGAAGCGCATTTATTCATTATTTGGTTTAAAGACATTTTCAACCATTTTTTTATCTTAAAGTAGGGAAAATTATTTCCTTTAAGTATCGGAAACTTTCTTACCAAGTCTATTGAATTATCCGATGTTTGCAAAGAATTATCATTAGTGGAAATTTTAACAAAACGCTTTTTGGCATCACCAATGATTGGCGAAGTTTCATTGTTTGACTTTTTAGGAGGTATCTGTATACATATTGCTTTGTTCTGGTGGATGATATTCCGTTCCAATAATGTTGCTAACTCCTAGAAAGAAGTAAAATGTAAATCTAGGTATTCTATTTTTAGTATTTGTTGTTATAGCGGCAACAAAAATACATCATCTGTGAAAATTTCAACTCTCGAGCTAACATAGTTCATGAGATACAACCTGGTGACAGAAAGACAGATGGACAGCGGAGTCTTAGTAATAGGGTTCCGGTTTTACCCTTTGGGTACGAAACCCTAAAAAGGGCATTCATGTATTGATTCAATATTTATTTGTCGAAATTACAATATGATATATCATGCCAACGAAGTATTTATGATATAGAACACCAATTACACTAAAGGCCAACTGCAACCAATAAGGCGGGGCGAAAAAAGTAGAGTCGACACGTTAATTAGTCTGTCAGTGACAACGCTGCCGACATTTTGCTTACTGAAATAAAAAAATAAAATTCGTATTTTTTGGATAATAATGTCTTCCTGTATGGTAAAGTGGTGTAAAAGGTGAAAAGAGAGATGTGAAAGTTTTCAGGGATATCTGATCACATGTAAGTGAAATAATTAGTTTATTTATTTACGCACAAACAGGCTCGACTAAAATATATATGTACTTTGTTTTATTATACCTATAGAATGAACATTAATTTACTGACACATGGAAGAATTATTTTAAGTGTATTGATATTACCTCCTGAGCATCTCGTCTCAAATAGGCCTGACCTCCCAAACTGCAGTTACATTTAGTTTTGCTATATTTCTGTTCACACTGCGCGCTAGTATGAATATTTGAAACTTGTTTCAATGAACATTGACACGAGACATCTGTTTGATCTTTATCGGTAGACGCACACTTTTTAGGTATGCGATATTGTTGAAAACTGTCGGAAATCTAAAAAAAAAAACTGCATTGTTGTTATTGATTTTACGATTTTTTTTCAATAAAATAAAATTTAAATAATAGAATAGGTATATACAATGTAATATCGTTATTATATTCAACTATTATGAGTGATGAAGCTCGTACATAACACGAAATATAATTTCAATTCTACATTTTATTTATATTTTATGAAAATCTGGGAAAATTTACATAATGTTGTTAAAAAATCATACAAACATAATACGAAAATAAATAATTACAATCAACAATTAAATACCTACTTTAACAAAAATATCTTTACCCGTAAAAGTTCCTGTGGCGGCATAATATGATCTCCCATTTGTGTACAGAGAATACAATCTGTATTATGGGTGCAAGTAGACCAATCTGCATCTTGTTTTTGATATTGCGTTGGAGTATTAACAGCCACTGTTTTATCCTCGGGACATTGGCATGAAATTTCTTTTACCAGAGATAAGGGAGCCTGTTTTCTTGAGTTTTTCACTTTGTTTAAGGTTTGTAACTTTTGTTGGTCAAGTTTTGGCAAAGTTCCTTTTTGAGACTCATTAGTGTTCACGCCTTCTCCGACACAATTTGAAATACCACATGTCCCTGCATTTGTTTCAGAATGATGAGTTTTGATAACCGTTTTCTTATACATTTGTAACTCTGAAGATGCTACAGAAACTTTAGACGGTTTATTTGGAGGAGTTCTGTAATTTAAAACTCATTCATGTAATGCCTGCAAGAAAGGAAGGACCACGATGGCGCGAAGGACCCAAAAGCACTGTGGTGAGGGTCTGCAATTGTGGTAGGTAATCAAGCAAACTTTTGCTATGACCGGTCATAGGATGGGTGACTAAAAATTCACTATCGCAAGCTCTCCGTAATTTGGAATGTATGTTGGCCACGGCTGCATCTGCAGTTGTTAGTACCAATCATTATTGGGCCTGCGTATTCCGACACGCTCATTTCATCTTTACCTACAAAAAACCAGTGCCCATTTTTAGGCTGATAGTGAAGAAACAAAAGGCATAAAGTTTTGAGAACATACTTGGAGAGTCTTTAGTCTTACGTCTAAAGAAATATTCTCAATATCATCAATAGGCAAGTTACTATATTTAACACCATCGTCTTGAATTCCAATCATGCAAAATTACTCACTGTTGGTAATATTCTGAAGCAGGACGGCTCAATTCTTTAGGTTCCAAAATGAATTCCAAACTTTGGAGGCGTCTGAAAAATTATTATCGTATATCGAGCGCTATTATAACAAACTACTGACTGTCTGCGTGGAAAAATTGCTTATTTAGTTTAAGGTTTAACCTCGCGATCTTGATATTTCTTTCAAAGAACCCCGTTTTACCCCCTTAGTTTTGGAAAATCCTTTCTTGTGTGCCAAATTTGACCGGAATTCGTTCAGTGGTTTGAGCTGTGCGTTGATAGATCAGTCAAAATGCTTTTTATATAACAGAAGATTACAAAGTACAGTATACAATAACTTTCAAATTATTCAATTAATAACAAGACTATTATTTTTATATTCGGCGTCCTCTGAGAGCTTTCGCGATATACATATCGATTATTTGGAAATTAGACTGCGAGATGATTTATTGTCCCGGTTTTATCACGCTCAATTATTCAAGTATATATTTATGTTTAGATGGGATATAATCGTATTATAATTGTAACACATTATCGCGGCGCTCATTCTACGAGTTATAGTGTCAATGCCAATTTACTTACTTTTTTAACGATACTTAAGTACATTTCCTGCGTTCTAAAATTTTCTACTGCCATTAAATATTCAAGAGATTCGTTTTGGTTTTGAATTCATTATTATGTAGGTATCTTAGTTATAGAGACGAAGTTTCACTCGTAAAATGAAGATTAAACAAATACGTTTGTGACATTATTAATAAAGTTCTCTACATTTAACTGGTAAAAGTTTTTTTGTTAGACTGTGAGCAATATGCTTTGCATCGACTTACTTTTCAATGGTACAGCTGCGTTCTTTGTTGCTATGTTTCTTTCTCCATGGACTAAAACATATATATATAAACATATTATATTGAAGTAAACGAAAAAGACAGAAAAATACTTAAATAAATGAACCACCAGCCTGTTTAAAGACTTTCCGAGGCTGGTGATGCTATTTGAACGGAGAATCTGTTGTGCACTTTTTAATCAGTCGTTGAAGTCGAAGGTGGTTTTTGTAGGACCTTCGCATGATTAAAGATAGGAATGAAATTCTGATAACAGATGGCGGCCTCTCCTCCAAAAAGGCCCCTCTCCTCTCCTCCCACAATAAGGCTGCTTTAGTTTTCAACTTGTGCTATTAATAAAAAAAACTCTGCAACTATAAAATACAAAACTCATTACCCGGGGTCTAAATTTTTTAAACAAAAAGCCCCCCCATATTACCAGCCGCTATAAGGACTTTATCTTTTAAATTTACGACAGGAACATACTGTTTTTTTTCATAATAATGATACAATCTCTTTTTCAGATGAATTTTTTACGAGTTATGGAGAGGCTGACCTATGGCCCGCAGCTCATTTAACAAGCCCTCAGAAAAGTTGAGAAAATAACTGGCCTAGAAAAGGGACACACTCCAAGAAAATATCGTGCTTCTTTTTGACGACCTCCGTGGCCGAGTGGTTTGTACGCCGGGTGTCATGGTGTCTCGAACTCGAGAGGTCCTGGGTTCGAATCCCGGTGAGGGCAGATGATGTGTGATGAATACGCGCATTTGTACTCCAGTCATGTATGTTTAATATGTATTTCTATATAACCTATGTATATGTACTGTATATATATTCTATCCGTTACCCTAGTATCCCATAACACAAGCCTTTCAGTGCTTACTTTGAGGCTAGGCTAATTGCTGTGAGTGTTGGAAATATTTATTTATTTACGCTTATTTCATTTCTTAATTCTTACTTGTCAATCATAACAGTGTTTCTTAACAATTTATTTGACATATTCACTTGAATTCGTATGTACGGTAAACATTGCACATAATAAGTATCTAGCATACAGTGACATAAGCAGTTTTTGTTAATAATGAATTAATGAATTCAGGATTATGAAACGGTATGTTAATTTATTGAATAAAAAAACTTACCTTTTCACCTTTGCAAATAAGTTTGTTGCATAGGGTTCGCTGAAATAATTATAATAGGTAGTTAATTAATTAATTAAATATTTTTTTTCAAGCATCTTATTGGAATTTTCGAGGAGTAGTTTTGTCTGTCGACTTTAATCTTTCAAAGTTGATATCTTTTAAAAATATTGAGTAGGTACCAGGTTATTCTATCAGTATCACGAGGATTTTTCATCACGTTTTGCCAGCGGTCACCGTTCTGTTTCTGCTGTAGGAACTCGTCATATTTCACGTCGAGCCACGATGCAAACTCTGTGAATTCTCGCCTCGTGTGTGCTTCTGATCGCAGCGGTAGACGTTCCTGTGAAATGTGAAATATTCTTTGAACATTACAAAAAAAAACTTCAATCAATGCGGAGTTAGTTGGCGCAAATAGTTAGCGCGTTCGGCTGTGATCGTTGAATTTAAGCAACTTTCGCAGTGGTCGGTCAAAATTTTTCGACCAACGGCTTAACGTGCCTACCAAAGCACGGATCACTTTGTTAGACACGTTAAGACGTTGGTCCTGGCTGCATTGGCAGGCGTTAGCACTCACCAATCATCATCCGCAATGAGCCCACGTGGTGGGTCATGGGTCATGGCCCAATCTCCCTATTCCATCCATAGGGAAGGCCTGTGCCTCAGCAGTGGGGACATTAATAGGCTGACGACAATAAATCAAACAACTAGATACGAGTGCCGCTACTGCGATAGTTTTTTGTGCATAAGCCAACGTTAACAATCCTAGCACGACAGCCGCCGCGCCACGCCGGGCGTTGGTATGCAAAGTGAATTAAATACATGAGACTACCTTCTGTTATATCTATTTTGTGCTTTGCGCGCTTAAGTGTTCCCACTTACAACCCGGGATCCTTTAAGAGGCGTGAAGAAGCAATGTACAGGACGGCAAGGTAAAGGATGGTTGGCGTGTCAGATAACACTGCTGTACCAGCTATCTTCGTGTCTGGACTCTACATCACTTAACATCAGGTGGGGTGAAGTCATTTGTCCGACCTATTGATAAAAAATATGATGAAAGAAAGTATATTATTACACTTAATATGCTGTCCTGTTTCTTTCCTAAATAATAATGACTAAAATACATTAATTTAGAAAAATACATAGGTAAAATACTTCCATAACATTGAAACTTCATACCTATTATAATTTTCATGATCATATCATAGTTATAGAATTAAATCAGCAGTTTTGCATTTTACCTCTGTATACCACCGGAAGGCTTTCACGAAACAATTGGGGCTGCCTTTCTTTGATACTTTACATCTCTGATTATAGGACTGTTGTTTCTGTAAAAAATAAATAAACAGATTTATGTCATCTCTGTTATTTCTGCATGGCTTAAATAAAAGGCGACATTGCAATTAATCAGAATGCAATGCATTTTCCTATTTTAATAATCTCTCAGTGGCAATTAATGTCACCAGGCGCTATATCAAAACAGAACGCGGATCGAGAAAGCCCGGCGCTCTAAGTTCCGGATTCTATTCGTTCCTCGGAAAAATTGTAAATTTAGACCATGCAATGTTTCCTTTATAGCTCTGCTGGACCCATCCTCGACCCAACAAAATATCGCTAAATCTAGCGCCGTAGAGGAGTACGCTAGTGGGATTTTAACATTACTGGATTAAGTATATCTGTCATATGGTGTCCCTTTGTTTGATGCTATGTCAACTCCAGAATTTTAATAAAAGTAGATATTATGAAGCTGTCTATTTTTAAAAGTTGTAGTCGGTACAGTTACAGCGGGAATCTCCTGTAACGAAGAAAAGTTTACATAGTGTAATATCCGGTACTCATTTCCAGTATAAGTCAACGTATAAGACTAAATAGGACTATAAAAAATATTTTTATATGGGGGTGTAGAAGTGTTCACTACTTTTATTACTATTCTTAAGTTTCTCAGGTAACTCGAAACCTTTGCTTGAACTTGGCTTCACACGCTGCCGCGTGTCCATATTGCCGTATATATAAGAATCAATTGCTGTTCGTCTGTCTCGCTAAAACTCGAGAACAGCTGGGCCGACTCAGATGATTTTGGTTTTGAAATGTTTGTCATACGTAGTCCAGAGAAGGTTTAAACGGTGAGAGAATATGAAAAAATTGCGACGAAGATAGTAAAAACAACAATTTAATTTTCTAATATAAAGTGTAGCACGAACCAATATCGAATTCAAATAGTTTGCGAGCGCGAAATATCAATGTCACATTTAGTATGGAACTTGAAATGCAGCGCAGCAACGGACGTAACGAGAACTAAAAATCAGTACACATTTGACGTATTGAATAGATTGAATTCGAATCGTTTGAGAGTGCGAAAGGTCATTGTCGAATGTGTACTGATTTTCAGTTCTCGTTACGTTCGTTATGACGCTGTTGTTTAAGTTTCGATACAAAATTTGGACCATAAAGTATTTCCAGATAATTATGTACTATATGAAGTTTAATCTTGACGACCTCCGTGGCCGAGTAGTATGAACGCCGAGTTACAAGGTGTCGCTTACTCGAGAGGTCCCGGGTTCGAGTCCCGGTGGGGGCAGAGGTTTGTGTGATGAATACGAGCATTTGTACTCCAGTCATTGATGTTTAATATGTATTTTTATATAAATATACTTCATTATATGTATCAGTATATTATGTATTCTATCCGTTACCCTAGTATCCGATAACACAAGCCTTACAGTGCTTATTTTGAGGCTAGGCTAATTGGTGTAAGTGTTGGAAATATTTATATTTATCTATGACATAGTCAGCTGGTCTAGCACTTAACAGAAACTGACATAGGTACCTAAAGTATGACCTTTGTGGTAGTCTGGTGTATTATTGATTGTAAGTACACAAGTGTTTAGTTACCTTTAACGTATAATAAATCAAAGGTTGCCTCAGTGCCTGATACAATGGCTTTCTCGACCGGAAGCTCCCGTCATTGACACCATAATCAACAAAGCATTCGGGACACATACACTCGCTGGAAGATGTCGAAGACATAGGATTTACGAAATTTACAAATAACCACGTAAATAAAGAATTTCAGTGAAAATTTTGATTGTTACTGACATTAATATGTCATGAATATGTCAATGAATTAATTGGAGTTATACAGAGCTGTGAAGTTGGTTTTTGTTATTAATGAGGTTTATAGCAATCATGTTAACCTCATACCAACATCTTGCTGTTTTTTTTGCCAGGGAACCCTGTCAGGTGGATCCATAGAGCAGCGCGGCCGGCGCGGCCAGGTTGGGAGTAGGCATTCACAACGTTCCCCTCTGTCGATTTTACCCTGCTGTTGGGCCAGCTCAAAAACTAAAACTCGTTGCACTAGGATATTTCACTAGACTGACTCAAGTCGCGAGAGTGTAAGTGTTTTGTCAGAGCACAAAAAAATCCAAATAGTTAAGTAATTTGCTGTAAAAACAGATTTGCAACATCAAACCTAAAAAGAATGGTGTTACATTTCTTAAATAAATAGAATTATTAGTATTATTTCTATGTTATCACTTTTAAACAGAAAATAGATATTATTTTATAGAAAATCAATCTTCGGACTTGTTTGACAAAACAATCGACTCACCGGAACAAATTTCAGATCTGTTAATAAAAAACCTTAATGGTAGACATACACACTACGAGAAATCGTTACGATCAGACTGTACAGTTCTAACGGAACAGTTTATCGTACGTGGCGTACGTATAGGAAACTGTGCAGTTTTATAACATACACGCTACGATTTATCGGTACCGTTCGGACTGTACAGTCTAAACGGAACGAACGTAACGATAACAGTGTTACCAATGAAAAGTATTGAAGTTACCAAGCTTTAGTTGGCATTAGCTTTTTGCTATAGTCTCGTCGACACAGTGCAACAGTGTCGACTTTTTTTTCTAAATGGAAAACGCTCGTTGTAAAGTGCTTAAAGGTAGTTGATGTAGTGATATCATAAATTCAGATTTTTTGTTAATTTTGGAAACTATGAGCCGTTGAAGTTTTGAAAATAGCCATGGCATATCCAAACTCGAAGAATGCTATGAGGGATGCATCAAAAATCGAAGCAAATTAAACTAAAAACAAAGAGCAGGCTAAAAGACGTTGATCAAGTAAAAAATCATTGCAATCGTTTTACGAGATCTCGGTCAACCAGACATTCAAATTTGCTTTGCAACGAGAATCGCATAGCATTATAAGAAATTCTTTAATGTAAAAAAGGAGTAGGGTTCTCTGATCAAATTTGAGGCACGACCCAATCGTGCTACCGTTGTTTTTTTTTATCTGGGGCCTTGTTACTTTATCTCCGAACGCATGAAGTTTTATTAGAAATTTAGAAAAAAGTGATTGTCTTACATGTTTAGCTTACATAGTCTCCATCTCCATGGATAAATAGCAACACCTCTAACTCACCGAGGGTTACCAGATTGAGAAATCAAAATTTCTGGACAATATTATAAAATATCTGGACATTAGAATTTTTGGCTGGACAAAAAAATCAGCATGACTATAAAAAATTCTTATTATTACAAAACAGAAAAACCTTAATAAAAAAAAATATGAAGTTTCGCCACATACATTAATCAACATTATCATAGTTTTTTTTTACTATTACAAAACAGAGGAACCTTAATCAAACAAAATTAATATTAAATCACTTTTTCTGCCACATATATTTAGCAATTCCTTTAGCCGCATTTATCATTTTAGAACTTTTATCTGTATTTAGAAAAGATTAAATTTAGTACAATTTTTGTCAAAGTTCAATCTAATTATTGAATTCAATCCCGGACATAGATAGCGAGAGGCCGCAGCGGAGCCAGTGTTGCCAACTCGGTGGAAAAACCACTAATACTGGTGGTTTTTAATTTTCAGCTTAATTTTAGCTGAACATTTTGCCTAAAACCGGGACACTGGACAACGTGTGAAATAGCTGGACAATCCAGCCAAGTCCAGCCAATCTGGCAACCGTAAACTCACCCCTTTATCGCTATTTTAAAAGGTGCGCGTCACATCGTGAATTGATTAGGCAAAGTCGTATTTGATGCGGTCTTTTATTCCAGTACTTGTTTCCAAGGTATACAAGATTCCTAGATAACAAATTAATTCCATACTAGTGTCGTGCACACTAATAGGAATAGGTATTTATCTACTCTAGTATGGATATATGGACATTTTATAACGATTTAATATTAACAGATAATAACGAACACCCGCGACAGACAGAAACCTCCCATTTTTCCGGGATAAAAAGTCTCCTATGTTCAATCCAGCCGTATTCTCTACGAAGGAACAAACTCGAATTATCGAAACGAATTATCAGCGCGGAATCCGCGTGTGATTTGAAATTAGAATACAATTTTGAATGTACATTTCAAATTCCACCGCGAATTATGGGAAAAGGAGAGAAGTAAGCTTGTTCATCCGAAGGCACTGGCAGATAATACCTAAGCCATGTATACTAAATATCATCCAAATCCGTTTTAGCGTCATTAAGGTACAAACATAATTTACATATATAAAATCTTTCACTTTTGTAATATTAGTAGGATGGTTAAAATAGAAATTTTCAGTATCATGAAATTAAGTTTAATAATATACTGTTTTGTGGTATCAAACTCTCAACTAAATCATAGCCCAACTGATTTTGCCTTTCACAAGGCCGATTATGATCTTATCATACTAAGTGAAGATAAAAATGAATATATTATACGATATTATAGTTTTTGCTCATTTAACGAAGATAATAGTAGCATATTCAAATAATCTATATTTATTAGTATCACAAAGGCAAGACGAAGACCCAGGTAATGTAATCTTTGTAAATAAGGTTGTTATTTACGCAGATATACCTTTATGAAAAGCTATGAGGGAAAGCTGCCTTAGATCTTGTCGGTGTAACAATCAAATTTCCAGGAAAATCTTTTGCCGAAATATTAAAATATAACTTGTTAGTCGTTGTATGTATATACAACGACTCCCTATATTGTATAATATAGGGAGGCTCATTAGTGATATCGAAATCCGCAAATTTAATACCTACATAAATTTTGACATGTTTTTTTCTGTCAGATATATGAAATGTTAAATATCTCTTATCTAATAGACAAGTCCGTCCGTCCGTCCGTGGTGCTGTTTCAGCGGCCAAACCGTAAGAGATAGATATAGAGAATGTTTAAGTTATAAGTTAAGAATAGTCTGATAAGACTACAAACCGGATGTGAGTAACGTAGCACTTCCGGTTTTCGAGAAATCACGTGATTTCTATTTCAAACGAAACCACACAAAATCTCCGAAGTTCTCAATTAATTAAATACATTTTTTTTTGGTGAACATTTGGTTCACTGGTTTGCTAGTTTAGTACTATTTAGTTACCTTAATTGGTTTCATCACCAGGGAAATGTTGGCATTTCCATCCAACCTGCACTTGTTTGCAGTCAAATGGCACATCTTCTTACTAGTGTTGTACTACTGTAACATGTGATAGGAGAAGAGCAGGCTAGAAATGAAAGGCTAGAAATAAAACAATCTTTCAGTCAGAATAATAACCAAATAAAAGGTTTGGTTATTATTCTGACTGAAACATTGTTTTACAATCGTCGATCGGCAATGGTTTTAGTTCCATGCTTAGTTTTCGTTACATGCTTCATGCCTGAATACTCGTGACGATAAATTTAATATAAGTGCTTCATTTACACACAAAGAACTAGAGTGGGAATTGGGGTATCCGTATAAACAAAATAGGGAGAATGATGATATGAGGGCCATGATGGCACCATGCGGACCCAGTGTGGATAGGTGGATACTACCGAGTGCAGATGCAACCGAGATCTTTAGGCACCTCGCGCACTAGACGGCCACGACCACGACCAGTGGCAGCAACGACCAGATTAAGTGGCCGCACATCAGGCAGGAATGACTGGTCGTTGCGGCCAATTAACTTACGTAGACTTTGTTATGAGCGCTCGCGCACTAGATCTGCGCCCGCAGATGCGGTTAGGCCGCGACCATTAACATGCTCAGTGTCATGCGGACAGTTCCTGAGTGAACATGCTTCGTATTGTCTCGCATCTCAATACTTCCGTTTTTTTCTTCAATGAGTTTTGATACAGTTCTTTATTAACGAAATAAAGAAACGACCAGCGCTGTGGCCGAGGTGCCCTATATGTCTTCGTTATCATCTCACCCGTGCGACGTCCACTGCTAAGCATAAGTTTCCCCAAAGTTATCCACACCAATCGATCCTGCGCCACTCTCATTCATCGGTTTCCCGCGAACTTCACTAGAATGTCGGTCTACTAGAATTCCAGACAATGAAGGATCACGAGACAGTTAATTTTTCTCCACCCATTCTATGACGAACTTTTGCGAAACATAGATACGGTCCCTACTTAATTTCCAAATTAACACACCATGCGTGCTAAATTCTGCGCTATCGCGTTCCTCCCAAAACGAACCAATGGGACTAATTTTGTCGTCTACCATAAATACTTATTATTACAAAGTTCCATAGAGATACTCGGAAAAAAAGTCCCAGTAGTACCATAAAAGAAATGGATAATGGAACTGCCATCATCAGGGTCACATGGCAATATGTGGAGGGGTAGGTACCTTTAGATTGCCAAAATTACAACAGGGCAGGCAAACCATATCATGAATATATCGTGTACTATGTTACAAGTAATTTATTAATCAATTTATGGTTCAGATGAAACCTGCTACGATCCGTATCAAAAGCAGAGATTACATGGAAATGGTAATTCGAGTTGGCGTAATTCTTTGACCTTCGAGACGACTACGACACGTCCCAGTGAAGGTTAGATTTGACACTAAAATTCTACGATCCTACTAATATCATTAATGGGAAAATTGGTATGTTTGTTTGATTTGAAATTTGGAACATGAACTATGTTATATATATTCTTTTTAAGCATTTAACTGCTAGATGTATATATAACTATATAGATTACCATAATTGCTTTTTATTCTTCTTTAATACTTGTAAAAGTATTTATTCGACGTTGTGGGTTATACCTACAATGCGAAGAGATGGCACTGCCTTGCAGCATAAGAAAGGCTAGAGAAAATTCGCCACGGCCATCAGGACCGCGGTGGTATAATGGTCAGTGCATTCATCTGGATAGCGAGGGGTGCGGGTTCAAGTCCCGTCTGCTGCCTGGTCTGCGTGGATTTTTTTCTAATAAGATTTTTTTACATATACATAAATTATGTTATTACCTGGATTCAGACAAAGGATATATTTATCCCGGAAAAGTATTAGTTCCTGAGGGATTCTGAAAAAACTAAAGTTAACACGTACGAAGTCGCGAGTGGCTGCGATAATATCCTATACAAATGTGTTTGTATGCAAGTTTGTATGGGAAAATAGAACAGGCGAATTAACAGTATCAATACTCATCGATATTGTTAATTTGTCTGTTCCATTTTTCCATAAAAAGGTAAGGTGTCCATTAATGTAATAAAGATAGGATTTTTCCACCTATCTATACTCGATATTGCTGATTCTGTTACTGTATTCCTGGTTCTCTTACCGCCTCAGGGTAAGAGATTAGGTGAGTTGAACGAGTCGATTTTTGGTGTGTTAGTATTTTTAACCTTTAACTAGTCGCGCCTTAATACTTACACCATTAGTCGCGTGAGGTCCGAATGAACCCCAAGGTTTACTTTAAAAAATGAAACGTATAAAAAGTGAAGATATAAATGATATATAGGAACTTTAAAAACAACATCTAAATGAACATAAAAACATTGTTAGGCTTCTAGAAAACAACAAAAACATAAACTTCTGAAATAGTAATCAAAATAATCTTAAATTATTAGGCACATGAATTACAAAATTTTTTAAGGTATTCATTACACATGAATTTGTCACATTTACTACATTTGGTTTATGTTCTCAAAGTTCGCACCAGTCGCAACTTGTAAAATTTTACAAATTATTACAAAACACAAGTTTGTATAAAATTGTGAAGCAAATGTAGTCGCGCGGGGTCCGATAGACCTCAAACACCTCCATACGGCACATGTGGTCGACGCGGCGACGACGCCGACGCCGACGCCGCGGCACACTTGAGTTGAGACGGGAAAGGAGGGTGAGCTAGGAAACTACTAAACACAGCCGCGAAGTGTAATATTTGCCGAAATATAACAAAAACAATTCCCACGCGACTAATTAAAGGTGAAGCTCTGGTCACTTTGCCACCTTTTCAAATACATAGTAGTTAAATTAGAGAAATAAAAGTATGGTTAGTATTTTATTTGTATAGATTATGCGGAATAAATGTGATTTAACATTGATTTATTTTATTTCTAGATCCCTTTTTGAGCCTTGAAAACATAAAACAAAAAGTTGTATTTGGATCTAACCAGAAAGGTAAGTCAATAAGCCATAAGCCATGTATATGAGGTGGGCGGGCCATTAGGCTACATAAAAAATGACCCTTTGGAAAAAATAGCACAGTAAAAATCAACTGGACTTGCGATCATACTGAGGGATTCCATCAAACATTCATTTACGAGTTCTCGAATTGTGAAAAAAACTTAAACCAGCATAGGTATTCTGTAAGATTTATTAGGCGTTTATCCAATACGCATTTTTTTTGAGTGTGTATGCTGTTAGTCGCAGGTAGGGTTACCATCCCTCCGGATTTGTCCGGACATGTCCGGACTTTTTGCCTTTTTTCGGACTCTGTCCGGCTTTTTAATTAGTCCGGATTTTTTTTATTAGATGGAATATGAGTAAAACTACTTATTAAGTTATATAGAATAAGTCAAATAATCTTTAGAAAGTTCTCATTAATTTAAAACAAAATAGAAATCATCTTTAAAAATCAACAACGAGACCCCCCTCGTGATGCAAGCGTATGCTACCACGCGTATAATATCACTGTAACTGAGTGGGTGATGTTTGCATTTTGTGGCTAATATGTCCGGACTTTTATCGAAATGTCCGGCTTTTTATCAGGACTTTTAAAATTTTTAAATAGTAACCCTAGCCGCAGGTGACCTTTACAGCGTCACCGGGTTTGGGGACGGCGAGATCGTCTATTAGGGGCTAATATGGAAACGAAAGATCTTGACGTAGAAGATTATTAATCTTATAACAACGGATATATCCGTTAAGTGTACGGTACAATAACGACCTGTGTTCATGGTAATAAGGTTTAATTTCATAACTAACGTCATGAAAATATGGAGTATCAGTTATAGCTTGTCATTTTAGGTTTGAAAAAGGTTAATCCTGCCGTGGCGTGGGAATAAAAATGTTTCAAATGTAACTTGTAGCCTAAATGTTCCTGAAAAATGCTTATTTTATTTTTATCCTGGAGAAAATGGAATAAGTAGGTTAGTAGGGTTAAGATGTAACCCAAAAAACCGTTTTTTTTATTCATATTGCGGTCCTACAATAGATATATTAAATTTAAACATACATTTAAACCGGAAAAACGGTAAAGTATAGCATTTTTGCTACCAGGCAAGTTAGCTCCTCCCTTTTTGAATTTTATTATTATTCAGGTTGTTCTGGATTGTTCTATGTTTGTTCTACATTGTTCCACAAAATAAACGGGTAAAAAAATTTAAATACCGTAAAAAATGGTTTAAACTTTAAACATAGAATAATCCAGAACAACCTGGATAATAATAAAATTTAAAAAGTGGGAGGCTAATTTCCTTAAGGAATTTTTGCTATAAGAATTCATTATTTTTTTGACACAACTTTTTGTAGGTACCTTCCGGTACGAAATTTCAGTGGATTTAAAAATAAAGCCTCTTCTTATAATTACAATTAAAGGCCGTTAGCAAAAATTTTGCCTTGTATTAATTTTTTTCCAAAAATATCGTATAGTTCCTGGGCTTTAATATTTGTATAAAAAGTTAAAAAAATCTCGTCTAGTCTCGTGTACAAAATAAACGAATTTATTTATTATAATAGGAATTTATTTATTAAAAAGCCCGCAACCTCACTTAGCTGTTTTCTTTTGTAACAAATTGCATATTATAAAATCTAACAATATTAGTATGTATATTTTTATTTTACTAAGTGGAAAAATCAATAAGGTATTCGGTCTCGTATTTTAAAATAAACTGTTTGTTATAAGTGTTGTTAACTTGGATATTGTATTTGTGGTTATGTCGTTATGCTTAGTGTCTAGTTAGTCTGTGCATTAAAGAAGTTGGTCTAGTTTATCCATTACTTAATGTGGCTCTGTCTACAATAATTTGTAAAACTAAAGTAATTAAAGTTATTCAATGAATAATGTATTTTATAACAACACTGTTATATCCTAAAACGAAATAAATCACTTTCATTACATTATAATTCATGCAAAAAAGCACTGTAATTGACTGTAAAAGTAGAAGTATTACCCATACTTTTAAATGAATACCATATACGTGTTGACGTTATGGACAAAATGCCTGTTGAACAAATGCGAGTTGGATAAAATGTATCTTGGTCGAAATGCGAATTGGACAAAATATATCTTGGACAAATACATCCTAGAAGAAATATGCGTAGGACGGAATAAGGATTTAAAAACCAATTGGATGAAATGCGTATTAAATACATCCCTCAGCTTAAATTTTATGTTTTTACTTAGATACTTTTTTTGTTTTCTGTTAGTTTGAGTCTCCATTAAATTTATCTGAGCATATTTATATCGCACACATCGTGCGCGCCGAACGCGTCGCATTTCGAGGTTTCCTAAAATGATTCAAAATGTGGCGCGGGCGTCGCGTATGCTGCTGAAATATATACCTTTAGTGTTCTCAAATAATTAATACATGCGAAGGCACAGAGGACGATATAAATGATCAGCTCCCACTGAGGCTTACCCCTCCAACCCCTGATGGATCGGTGGACAGACTAGCTCACTTTCCTAGCGGCCGCCTTATGCAGTAAGTAGCTTTTGTACCTTATCTTAACTTAGGAGGACTTCCATGTCCAAGTATCTTGCACGCTGATCGTATTTCACAAGTTTTTAAAAAGAAAATTTTAATACATCGCCACAAATTATTCCATTGTTTCTTCTATAGCACGTCGCATTCCTTTTTTTAATCGTTATTGAAAAATTCAGACCTTTTAAGAAGCATCAGTGGTTACTGATCCGCCATGACCATGATCCGCTGCCGTCCGTGTAGCAGGTGAGCTTTCTACCACTGGTTAGAAAACTCTACCACTGCCACGCAGGCGGCCCGAGTTCGATTTCCAGCCGAGGAGGGACTTTTTTACTCGACTGCTCAATGCAAGGACAGGGGGTAGTGTTTAACAGTCTATATATGTATGTATGATAATTTGTGGCACACTAGAGACCAAACGCATGGACGAAACGCCATATTGTGAGAAGGAAAAAAAATAAGTTGACAACATATGTCGAGTTGTATATTTACCACATGCGCTTTTAATTTATATCTTACGTTTATATGGATCTTTGTTACTCATTCCCTCAAAAAATACTGAATGGATTTTAATGAAACTTATCAATAATATAGCTCATACATAATAATAGTAGCAATTGAGTGAATTTGCCAAAATATAATAATAAGTGTCACGTAAGACGGAAAAAATCTTCCACCTGCGAGCCATTTTGGCCTGCACTGCAAAAATAATAAAAGTTACAGGAATATAATGTACAGGGGGAAATGTAGCTCTTAAATAGTTCTACAAATAAGTCCGCGGCAGCATATATCTATTTTCAATGTGTAAGCTATTATCGCTAAAATAGTGAATCAAAAATAAAATATTATTTGATATCTATTTCTAAAATGCACATTTTGTTACAACAAATTGTTTACTTATTAAAAAAATACTTTTATCGTTTTTGATATTTAAAAACGACAAACTTTGCCTTTTACCCTATGTCATTTCGACTAATATTTAACAAGATACAACGATGACAAAGTGATAGCGCGGTGTACTATGCAGAAGTAGACTGCGGGAATGGTGGTAGAAGGTTTTTTATGAATTTTGGTATTTATAAACGTAGATAAAACCTAGGAGGCAATGAAGAAACTCGCAGTATAATAATTCTATACGAAGTTATTACAGTAAAACTGTGAAATAGTTCCTATTTATTTAATGATGTAAGATAATTTATCATAATTTAATGAAAAACTCAGAAATATACTGTTTTCAAAAATATTTTAACGATATTACTTCGTTTAGAGCAGGCCATGTCCTTTAAAAATGACTATATATTTTTTTTTCTCTTTATTAGGGTAAACAAACAATGATACAATATTGTTACATTATAGATTAATGAGATTAATACTATCATTGTACTAATTGCATCATTCACTACATTTACCACAGAGTTTCTAACAGTAATTAGCATTGGGAGACTGTATATATTTAACTTAAATTTACTATTAATTTACTTTATTTGCCTATTATACTTAAATATGTAAATACATACTCTATAATACAATTTCTGATTTATTTACTGAAAAGTTTCAAGTACTTTTCTCTTAAACGAAGTAACAGTGATCGCAAAAATGTCAATGTCATTAAATTTGTCGTTGTAAGTCTGGGCAAGCCGATACAAGGGAGATCGTTTGCCTGCATTTGTACGACATTTTGGCAATGAGAAAGACCTACATGGGGTACGACAATGTGATCTAGTAGGAACTCTGTAAGATATTATATCTATCAGTGGTATGCAGTCGTATCTATTGTGACATAAGTCATACAATAATGACATTTCAAGCTGAAGTCGTCTTTGTTGAAGGGTAGGAAGTTCATACCTACAAAGCAGCTGCTCGTAGGGTAAGCGACTGTGGTGGAATTTATAGTGTACACATCGTAAAATTTTTTTTGGACGGATTCAAGTGCCTTTTTGTATTTATCATAGAAAGGATTCCAGATGGGTACTGCATACTCTATTTGGGAGCGAATTAATGATTTATATAAATAATAGTATGTGGAAACTCGCGCGAATTTATTACTGGATCGCATTATAAAGCCATACATCTTAAATGCTTTGGCTATGATGTTGTCAACATGTAGATCCAGATGAAACTTGCTATCTAAAGTTACCCCCAGATCTCTTACCGACTTAACAGACTCAAGATATTCATTACACAATTTATAAGAATAATTACTTATATTTTTCTTTTTAGTGAATGTGATTGTTTTGCATTTCATGATATTTAAATTCAGCTTATTTTCACAGCAATATATAGAGAGACGATCTAAATCTTCTTGGAATCTAATATGGTCATCCTTGCTGTCAATTGTGTGATATATCTTAAGACCATCAGCATATAGCAGAAAATTACAAAAATTAAAACATTTATGGATAAAGTTAATAAATAATATGAACAGCAAGGGCCCCAGTACAGATCCCTGTGGAACACCAGATGTTATCGGTACAGAGTCTGATTCGTAACCTCGGATAACAACCTTTTGTGTGCGATTGGTAATGTACGACTTGAATCAGCGCCACAAATCGCCGCGAATTCCATTGTAGGCTAATTTATCGAGCAAGATTTTATGATCCCCCCTTTCAAAAGCCTTTTGGAAATCGGTGTATACACTGTCGATTTGTTTAGTGTTATCTAAACCATCAAACAGATAAGATGTAAAGACGAGCAAGTTAGTATTTGTAGAACGACTTTGTACAAAACCGTGCTGTTGTTCGATAATGTAATTATGTATCATATATTTCCTATATACGATTATGCACAAGTCTCTCAAAAAGCTTAGAAAGAGTGGGTAAAATTGATATAGGACGGTAATTCGATACATTTGCTTTATCCCCATTTTTGAAAACGGGGACAATTCGCGCGCGTTTCCACACACTTGGGAATGTGCCTTCATGCAAACACATATTATATATACGGTGAAGTGGATTATATATGGTTTTAAAAGTTAGTTTAAAGAATATAGGGGGAATATTATCCAAGCCGGGGCCTTTAGAAATATCTAACCTGTTAAGCTTATTTAGTACTTCTTCGGCTGATAGTTTCACTGGGTGAATTATAAGGCTTGAGTCAGGATTAGGATCGGAAATGTTATGAATATCATACTCATTTACGTTATCCCGTGGTTCAAAAACCAATTGGAAAAAAGAAGAAAACAAATGCGGTATTATTTCTGGATTATTTTTAGTATGGTCTTTGTACGACATGGAGCTTGGAATCCCTGCATTTTTGTTTAAGTTGTGAACGTAAGACCAAAAGTATTTGATATTGTCGTATTTAGTATTTGATTTGATATGACGACCTCCGTGGCCGAGTGGTTTGTACGCCGGGTTTCATGGTGTCGCCGACTCGAGAGGTCCCGGGTTCGAATCCCGGTGGGGGCAGATGTTTGTGTGATGAACACGAGCATTTGTACTCCAGTCATGGATGTTTAATATGTATTTCTATATAAATATACTTATATATGTAAAGTGTATGTATTCTATCCGTTACCCTAGTATCCCATAACACAAGCCTTATAGTGCTTACTTTGGGGCTAGGCTAATTGGTGTGTGTGTTGGAAATATTTATTTATTATTTATTATTTATTATTATTGTCGTGAATGCTTTTTTCAACATTATCCATATATTTTTTATAACATTTAGAGGATTCTTTACGAAAACGATCTCTAAACATGAAAAAAGCGGCGTAATCACTAATATTTCTAAATTTTTTCCATTTAATCCACGCTTTATTTTTGTCTCTAAAAATATGAATCAATGCCTTTGTAAACTACGGAGGATGGTGTTGAGACCTTTTTTTTTTTTTTTTAATACGCAGGTAAAAAATCTATTTACAGACGACGGCGCCTTTAAGAGGCACACCGCCGAACGGACCTCACACCTGGCTCCCGCAAGTCTTACGAACCCCACAGTGGCTGCCCACCGAGGACCCCGCAACTCTTACGGGCGCTTTACGGTATAATATCCGCTAAAAAAGTCCTGCGAATACCCTCTAAGCTGCTTAGTGCGAAACCGCGGGATCCCCGTTTAGGGATTCTTCCGCGTCTTCGCACCCAGCAGCCTCCCGGCCTAGCCGGGGCTCCACGGCAGGGGTCCTCCCGAGGTATTGCGGGGACCCCGCAGACGTGCGCAGGATGGCCCGCGCGTGGGGGCAAAATACGCGGCCTAGTGCCCACCGTACCGCCCCCCGTCCGCTGCGGAGGACTACTTGGGCATGCCCGTGTAGCTCCCTCCGCCGCCCCCCTCTTTGCAGGACAGAACTACAAGATGGGGGCTGCCGTCAGGGGATCCCTCGGTGGCCGGCACGGCACAATGCGCCGTACCGGCCAGCTAGGGATCCCCGCGGGCAGGGTCATGGGACGGGCGTAGCCAGGGCACGCACTCGTCCTCTTCTGCCCGCTCTTCTTCGGCGGGAGGGAGCGGCCAGGGGATCATCCTCCCGCTCCCTCTCGGCTGCCTCCTTCTGCGAGATAACGTTCTCGCAGAAGGAGGCAGCCGCCTCCCATGCCGACTCGCTACGGAGCATGGCCTCTACCATGCTCCGCAGCGAGAGGGTTCCGCCTCCCAGCGCCGCAATCAGGTCGCGGCGCTGCTGCCGCCAGGCCGAGCACTCCAGCAAGGTGTGCTCGGCCGTATCGTCCGGGGCGCCGCAGTGATGACACTGCGGCGTTTCCTCCCGACGTGCGACACGGTACAGGTAGTGACCGAAGCATCCGTGCCCGGTCAGTACCTGCACCATGCGGAACGAGAGGCCGCCGCGCCGGCGACCCACCCACTCCTCCAACACCGGACGAATGGCCTCAATCGTCCGGTGGCCGGCGCTTACATGGGCGAGTGCCTCATCCCATCGCCGCAAGGCCTCTGCCTGCGCGATGGAACGGACCTGCCGCAGCTCTGCTGGGGCAGGTCTTTCACCCCGCTCCCTGGCTTCGACCCGACCTCGATGCACGTCTGCCAGAACCTGGGCATCGAGATCCCACGGCGTCATACCCGCGAGTACGCAGGCGGCGCCGTGGCTGACCGTGCGGTAAGCTCGCACGACCCGGGTCGCGATGGTCCTCTGCGGTCGTCGCAGCAGGGCCATCGTGCGGGGTTTGAGGCACTCTGCCCAAACCGGGGCTCCATAAAGTGCCATCGATCGTATCACCCCGTGATACAGTCGACGGCACGCATCTCCTGATCCCCCCACGTTTGGGAGGACCCTGCCGAGTGCGGCTGCGGCGGCGCACAGCCGTGGAGCGAGGAGCTTGAAGTGCTCCTCGAAACTCCATCGGGGATCCAACACCAGGCCGAGGTACTTCAGGCTTCCCTCGACCGGTATGGTGTTGAGACCTGGTAGATTTTTGCGGTACATGTTTATTTATGTAATCCGCTTTATAGAAATCATATGAATATATCCTCTTCATGGGCATTGTGGACAATCTAGCATTAACAGGTAACCAGTGCAGATAGCGACGGGTGATTGTCATCGGGTTGAACGAGAGGAGAAGTTGCGACAAATATCCTACAACCATTTATGTTAGTAATAAATAAATCAAGTATTCTATTCTTAGAATTCTTGTATTTATTCAACTGTAAACAGCTAAAAAGGGATAAAAAGTTAATCATGCATTTATTCGCATCGCTATAATTGCTGCTCATCACTGGTTCTGTATATGTTACACAGTCGCGCCACTCTAATGTAGGCAGATTGTAGTCACCCACTACAATAAACTCCTTCACACTAGGTGATTTTATTTCAATAAGAACATGATCAACCAGCGGTGAGGCGGCTGCGTGAAATGTGGCAATAGGTACAGCCTCTAGCCCTCGCAAGGCTGCCACGAGAACCCCCCCACCGTCCCGCCTGTCGCTACCACAACGATCCCTATCGTGTCTAAATACCTGGTACCTAGCATCCACAATTTGACTATCATTTAAATCACAATGCAACCAGGTTTCAGTTAAGATAATCAAATCATAGCTGTGAGATAAGATATTCATATACAACGAATGTAGCTTAGTTCTTAGTCCCCTGCAGTTTTGATAGAAAACTGATGTTTGTTTATTATCCATTAAATAAATGATTAAAAATATAATTAAAGTGTCCATATATTAAAATTAAGTATATGACAATAAATATGTTATGATGAATGAAGGTTCTAATAATACATGCAAACAAAATTAGAAGGGAATTATTATTTATTATTTTTAGGTTATAATACATAGTTATCCCTATTAATATAATTTTACATTCATAGTTATATTGCACCCATCCGGAATCACATACCTTTCTCTTCTTATTAATTCCTGGCAAACAAAGATTTAAATTAGATACAAAACCTCTTTTTACTATATAAATCCCACCATATGGCCACTGAACAACATACCTTACTCCTCGTACATAACTTACATTATACTGTGCTGATAAATATCTGTTTGCATAATTACTGTTGAAAAGTAATAACAAAATGATTATGATTATGTATATATAAATTGACTTTTTAGAAGTATATAAACAAATGTTATGCCTGTTATTATTAAATATTTTTGCTAATGTCTTGGACACTTCGTACAACAATAACTGGCAAGGCAGCTTGTTTTCTAGCAAAAATAACACCGTGCTTAACCCATACGTATCTATAGTCCTTATTTTTAGCGACTTCACGACACTGGCGAAACAAAACTTTATTATCCAACGTAAGATGTTCATTTATATATATAGGACTCGGCGACCCAGGTATAGATAGCATCTCAGAGTTGAGTTTCTTTTTTGCACGACATGCAGCTATTATATTATCGCGAAGTATTCTGCTAGTAAGCTTGACCACGATGTTCTTGGGCTGTTTATACTTGGGGTCAGCATGTGGGACACGGTGCGCAGACACAATATCTGTAGCTTGTTGGTTTATAACGTTGCCCAAACATTCCAATATACATACAAGATTTTCGTCACGACGTTCTTGCAAATTAAAAATTTCGATATTGCATTGTCGCGCTTGCTGTTCCATTTGAGATATTTTGTATTCCAATACACAAATTTGATTTTCCAGATCAGTGTTACTCGTTATACTATTTTCAATTGATTTCAAACGGTTTTCGGATGCATCCTGACGTTCCGAAGAAAAGTCCAATGATTTCTCAATTTCGACCAGTTTGTTATTTCCTATATATTATTTCCTATATATAATCATTCATAAGGAAGGCCTGTGTTCCGGCAGTGGGGATATGTCAATAGACCGATGATGATATTATAATGTTCTTAAAAACTACCCGGTTTTAGCGCAGAGTTATTCCAAAACAAGAGCTCGGTGCACATGTCAATGGCAGAGTTCATTCACCGCGGCCACTGCTTGCTCAACATCACCGACGACTACATGCAGACCGCCATCGACGCCTTCACCATATTGCTGCAGGGCACTTTGGCTGACGTGCTAAAGTTACCGCCTGCCTACGTCTTAAGATCGGTATAAAACTGTATTAACTCCAGGGTGTCGATTCTGCTAAACTAAAGTAAAAATCGTGTCTAAATAATGGTTCAATAGCACGTATCGCCTTTTGACTCAGTTTTTATTACCTACTTTATATATTAGATAACAATAACAAAAAACGAGCGAGCTTTACAGTAGTGGCGTATGATGTGTAACATTTGAAACCTCACCTTATATTAGTAAAAAAAAGAAATAAAACCTACTACAAAAGAAATAAGCCATTTGAACATTATGTTCTAAAATCAAATCAAATAGCGCGCGCTTTCGCGACTTCCTGGCACACACTTCCGTCCCATTTCACGAAATCACTCCCATAAATTGCAGGAAAGCGAGAGGAAAGACGTTACACAGCAAAAATTAAGAAAAAATATTTATGGTTTTGTGTGTTTAACAACAATAACTGTTGAAAAATTCAGAACTACTGAAATACAATAGATGCACGTTTATTAGGTACTTTAACTTAGTAGGATCGTCCCCCTGTATCGTTTCCTGTATCATTAATGATATTAATAATATCGTTGTATACCTAAAATTACTTCACGCCATATCATTTACATCATGGTTAGAGAGAAGACCATCAAATATGCGACACCGTCAGATAAATATTAATGTACTATGTATTTATCATTGCTGAATTTATGTTTCATTATTGTCCATTGGAAATATTGGTATGTTGTATACATATTATCAGCAATAATAAAATATGTTCCTAGTTTCACCAACTTTCACTATTGATTGGCAATAATAATCAATTCCAAATGTTGCGTCCAACGATATAAATGAGGATAAAACTGCGACAGCGCGTAATCTTGCAATTGCAAGATTTTTAAACGCACTGTCAGATTTATTAATTTATATGGTGTTATCGTGGTAGTTTTGGAATTGAGAATTATATAGATAACGATAATTATATACTTCCGGACATATCTATCGGGCCACGGTCTCAAGCAAACATATATGTTTATGGTTGAGCAATAATTTTAAAAACACGAAAAGATGGTTTTTAGAACAGCCTCAAAACTGCGTAGTTAATATCTTTTTGCATAATGTAACATTTATTTTTAGCTTAGGGACTGTCAAAACTTAAAATATTAGGTGGGCCGACAGATGTGTCCAGAAGTGTATTTCTGATTCATGGTGTTGCAACTTAGATGCACCATTAATCCCGCAATAGATATAAACTTTAGTTCGAGACTAATATATTAATAACAAAAGTGAAAATTCTTTCAGGCGCGCACAATAGCAATGATGAAGATCGAGAAAGAGAAATTGAGAGCAATGTGGACGGTGGTGAAAGGAAATAGGAAGACAAAGCAGATCCCGTATCACGAGTTGGAGTTATTTCGGCCCTTGTTCAAGCATCTGTCGGGTAGAGAGATAGCCAGACTAAACATGAGCGATGACAGGATATTGGTGTACATCGGTACACATGCAGATCTTGATAGGCATCAGGTGAGTATTTTCATAGAGGTGATTATTTTCCAATTCCAAGTTGCGCTTATGTTCAGCGATTATTATAAGCTTTCATTTCTGTTGGGACAAAGATAGAAATGAATAAGCTGTAATCAAGATGTGATCCAAGTTTGTCATTTGCATTTCATTCTAATAGTAGTGACCAATTCAACAGATCTAACTCGTATGGGTGTGAAACGTAGGTATGCAGTAAAACTTATGGATTAAAAAAAATATTCTCATTACGTAACAGGTGGGAGTAACTGCGAGTAAATACATAAGCCAGAATCGTGATTGGGCGGAACCTCCCTACATGAACCTCATGAACAACCTTTTATGCGGGGTACCCCTGTCTTTAATGAGAAAAATTCCAGAGGGCCACTACCTACTGCTTACTCCACAGGTAAAAAATTATATCACATAAAAAATGTGGTTTTCGATCATTAACATCAGTCAATTTCTAAGAGAAACAATGATGTATTTTTAATGTCAAGCTATTGTGTAATTTAATTACTTTTACTCATTATAGTTATTATCGGGATTTCGGCACTGTTGCAAGCGCCATGATCACGCCATGGTAACGATCCCGTTAATATCTATAATTTTAGTTACCATTAAAGTTTAAAACATTATACTTTTACTCATAATGTATCAATGTAAACTGATACAATATCTCACGGCTTCTGTGATTTATTGCTTACTTTGTATAATGCGGACCGTGTTTTTGCCTTTCATGATATTATAAAAAAAACTGTTTCAATCGTAATTTATGTGCATAGCGTATATATAAAATATACAACGTGAAAAGTTAATTATTATTTCTATTTTATTTTTCAACCGAATAGCGAAATTTATTATTGTCTTAAGGCACAGGCTCACTAACTCAGAATAAATGAATCATTTTTTTTAATTCCAGCTTTTTCATCACATAAGAGCTTGTGATCCATTACAAAGACGATTTTACCTTACAATGATGACGAAAACTCAGGTGAAATTATAAAACATATCTATGTTATTAGCAAATTATTTTATTTGTATTTCATTGCTATCACTATGTTGGTAGGCGCTAGGGAAATCGTACAGTTGGAGTACACAAGATGTGGCCCGCCTAGGGCTGTTGTTAACAGAGGTTAGCGCGGCTGAACTTGCTGCTGTAAGCCCGGGAGCTATGGCAGGAATTACAGCTCAAGTAAGTTTTCATGTTGATATACCCACCGATCTTTGAGTTTTGATCAAAGAAAATCGAACAGATTAAAAAAATTTAATGGTTTAGACATTATTAAAAAAGTCTCTCGCTGTGTCTTTTTGTATTTATGGTAGATAGTAGTTTTTGCTGCCCTAGAATTCGGCCCTACAAAGAGGGCTTAGGTATGGTGGGAGTTCTTCACAAAGTGCAAGGTTGCCCCCTTATGTTGACCTGTCGCGCTCGAGTAACTCCAAAAATCCCCGCTTGGGCTCCCCTACTATTACGTTTACGATAATCTGAAAACTATCGAAAGTATTATGGGTGCTGTATATGTGTGACTTTCATCATTGATTCGTAGTATAGTCAATCTGTCGAAAAAAAAATCGTTTCAGTGAAAAAAAACCTAAGGGGTAAGTCTTGTTTTTTTTTGTTGCCAAATGACGTCAATAAGCCACCTTGGCGATGGGCATGTTCAACTCGTAGGCGTTTTTTGAAAAAATCAAAAAAACCCTCAAAAATTTTTGTAACGCATTTTTCTTGTTTTGTATGCATTTTAGAAACTTTCTTTTCGACCATAATTGTAGAGGGCGTTGAGTACTACAATTTATGTCATTGTTGCAATCTCGTACAACAAAAAATGCTCATTGTAGGTGGCGCTAGTCTCAAAAAAGGTGTTTTTTTCACTTTTGCACCCTGAAAATATCATTTTAATGGAAAACTTTACGGCTTACTGACGTCATTTGGCAATAGAAAAAACAAGACTTACCTTTTAGGTTTTTTTTCACCACCCAACCTACAGATTGACTGTACTATCGGGAGGTTTTCTAGTAAGGTACAATGAAAGGCATCTGCCCCAATACACATTAATAGGCTTATGCTGATAATATAAAATACTCGTGTGAGTCCAATGTGATGAAACTAAAAGATATAACAAGAACTTTTATGTTCGAATAAAATAGACACTATTATCAAGGATAGCGAAATATGATAATATTTTAATATTTAATTATTATTGTTAAAACTTGATAAAATTCTATCTAATGTTTATTTGGTTTGTCTTTATTGTTCGTGTTGTGATGTTAACAGGTGATGATAGAAATGCCCGCAAGAAATCTGTTACATATTACAGAAACGCAGTTACGTCATCTGGGCCAAAAGCCCATGAATATTTTGGCGAACAAACTTAGAAAGTATAGTAGCGAGTATCAGATTAATTCTATGGCTGAAGAACTACAACCGAAGGATTATTTGACAATGTTTGTGATTTTAGGCACATCGTGGGTCATTCTTTGATATATATTATCTTTGACAAAATTTTAGTTTTTTTAATAAACCTCAATGCAAGGATGTTTTAATAAGTTAAATGCAATCTATGTGTATAAAATTTAATTTCAAAAAGAAGGGCACTTGTTTTATTGTAATATTTAAACCAATATTTTTAAATTTAGAATTATTCACGTTGAGGAAAATGACACAGTATGGTGAGAATGATATCAGCATGGAACATAATGACGCAGTGTTGTAGTAAATGATTTAAAAGGTTTCAATTTGGGTATTTCACAATAAACACTTACTTAATCATTTAAAACAATTTTATTCATCAAACTTTGATAAGAAACTAACAAATAATCAAAACTAATTGAGATTATAACTATTTGGTTCTAAAAAACTTAATCATTCTAGGTAGTCTTCTTAAATAATTAATTCTTTGGTAATCATTAAAAATCATTAACTTATATCTGTAGCAACTAATTGGTTACTTACTTAATAATCATTTATGTCAACTATTCACTTAATGGACAATAACTTAAGGAACAGTCAAAAACTTAATTAGTTAGTTAACCTTATACATCAAATATATACCATTATCTTACTAATGAACACCTTAATTATGTCTTACAAGTATGTATTTGACTTAGCGAGGGAGTTACACATTATATACTTATTACATGATGACATTTTCTTGTACATACCAGAACAATATTTGAATGCAATGAATGTAGCGCAATAATTGATCTTTAAGAACACGTGGATGTAATAAAAAGGTTGCATACAATTGCAATTATACCAAGAAAAGTTTTGAAGCATAACTTGTATAATAGATCAAGAATGTTACGTGCTGTATAGACTATGCAAGTCATTTATTGATTCAATTTAAAATAATTATATGGAACAGGCAAGAAACTTGCATCATGTAAATGGCTCTTAATTCGTAAAAACTACCATCACAATATTTCGAAAAAAGAAAATGTATTGTATTAATAATAAATTCTTATAGTGATTTATGGGTAACAGAATACAAAGAAAAAAGAATTCGAAAGAATCATTAAATGTATCAAATATTAATTACTGATGTGTAGTCTTATTGGTGACATCAATAAGAATATCAGAAATAAGCTTGATTTTGTTCTGATTTGTAAATTTGCGTTTAGTTTTTGCCAGTGGAACAATGTTACAAGAAGTTACGTCAGTTATAGTGTTTTGATTAACGGCATAATTACTGTTGATAATATACCCTAGATGCTTTCCATGGTTGCAAATTTCACCAACGTCACATAGAAAGCAACTCATATTTCTCATTGTAATTTTTGGTGTAAAAAGGTCCCAAAGAACTTGATGTACAGAGAGGGTGCCTTTGAAGGGTTTCAACTTCTCGGGAATCAATTTCTCCCTTTGAATAATTTCTTCCTCGGAAACTTTTTTAATTATAACATTTCCTAATCTTAATTCCATGATTTTGTAAAATTGTTCAAAGTTTCCAACATCTTAACCAAAATGAACCCATTGATCTGCTAGTCTTTTTACGGTAGCGCCAATGCCATCAGGGGCACTCTTTCCGTGCCCAGCTTCGGAGTAATTCCAGGTCATTCTGGTTATGCTGGAGTGGTGAGACGACAATTGGCTGATAATATAAAACATGTATTTGTTTCTATATTGAGACGACGGAGAGTCGGATAAGAAATGAATTGTATCTACAAACTGATTAAGTTCCATAACTTGATCAAGAACAGGCAGTAAATGAGCCCAAATAGAAGCAGCGTCGTGTCGAAGGCAGGAACTAAGAGTACACATGGATGTAGGGATTACTTGTCCAGTTACAAAACTGTGAGTATTAATCACAACTGTGTGAAGTGATACTTGTTGCCGACTTCCTCCAAAGTGGAATGATTGCACCTCTTCTGCATATTTCAAATTATAATTTTCGGAGAAGTCGACGTGTATTATAGCTTCATGGATATTCAAATTATTTTTAAGCGATTTAATTACTTTGTACTGATTTACAATTTTGTGTACATGATTAAAGTAGTTTGGCAGTTCGGCTTTTAATTTGGAAATGGCTTCTGAGTGCTTCATTCCATTATCTAAAACTACTTCTTTTTTGACCCTATTCCATTGAAAAATCGTTAAGTGAATCTCATTATTAATTTCTTTATATACGAGGTCCCGTCCTACACAATTTAGGCAAATTCTTTGCAAGCAATCTGTGTTATAAGAATCGCAACACAATGTGGTGAATATGTCTTCTGGTTTTTTTTCTTTTATAATATATGCCTTACTCATGGCGCTTACCATCAATTCCATATTAACATGAGTAGCACACATGCATGTTTCTCTATTAGCTGGCTTAGGACCCAGAACCCAGAAAGGTCGGTTTTTGCAAAAAAATGAATAATGAATTTCATAGTTAGTCTCATTTTGAATTTTTTTATGTAAATCTATCAACGGAGCTGTCAGGTTTCTGCTGTCTTTTCTTATTCCTTGTAACGAATTCTTTTTTTCCTGCAGCAACGGTACTATTGGCTTCGTCACAATAAAATGAAATTATTGACTTTTTTATGTCAGATATGCGGTGTTTGCGACTTGGGGATTAAGGTGATAAATTACGTCTTTTACTTGGTTTATTATTTATCTTTGTGTTTTCAATTGGTTACTTTCGCGTGTCTTCAAGTTTTTTCTGTAGATTTATTATACTTTTACGTTGGGACTCATTTTTCTTTTTCAAAGCATCTATTATAGCAATCAATATTTTTCTTTTTTTAAATTCTCTGTATCTTATTTTCCTAACTGCGCGTTTCACTGCTGGACACTCACAATCATGTTGCAAAGGGTCTTCTTCCTTGTGAATACTCTCAGCTTCGTTAGGTAAATTTGCATCCACGGCTGCTTCAACTTGAATAGTTTCTAATCTGACTTCCTTTATTAAGATTTAGGTTTTCTCTCTCTCGATACTTTCTGGAATTTTCTTTCCATCTTTTTCTTTGTTCTCTTTGTGACCGAGGAGTTTTATCTTTGATCTGGACAATCTTTTTTTATTCTTTTCTTTTCAAATATTGTTTTCTTCGTTTTTCCTTTTCAATGGTAAGCAGCTCAGGATCATTTTTTATTTCGTTATAGCGTCTTCTTTTACATATGCGCTGTTTTGCTAGCCTCTGTTCTTTCGTTTGCGGCATTTTGCTTGCTGTAAGTAAAAATAAAAATGTGTTTGAACAATATAATATAAAATCTTAATGTTCAAAATCATAAGAAAACATACTAATATAGCTTAAAAAAACTATCTATATTATCTTCATAATTATACTAAATATTTCCAGCAGCTAAATATTTATAAAAAAAATATGCATACTATTTTTATTGATATACATATTTGATTTGTTACAAAATATCAAATTATTGGGATTAGATTAACTTAAACGAAAGCTAAACATAGGCTATTTAGTCTATTAAGTATTGGTCTATCCTTCTAGCAAACTTAGGAGTATATAATAGTATGTACGGGTACCTATAATAGTAACACCATTGCCAAGAGATAACAAGGTTCTAGATTATTTATTATCTTACACAATTCATTCTAAAATCACCTGAATTCCTTGAAACTTCAAGAATAAAAGCTGTATTCTACTAAATATCATTCTTCACAACAGTTCATCATTATTGCCAAGCTGAAAATCATTATGCGAAACTAGTGTCATTCTTCACCACGGTATGTCGCCCATAATGATGTAGCATAGAATGACGAGTTGAGGAAAAAACCTGCACGAACTTGTCTGTGAGCATAAAACCTCAGCAATGATTATACTAAATGAAATCTATTTCTGCTGGATATTATAATAGAAACAAACGAAAATGTTACGTGTGTGTATTCAAAGAACTTAGATTGAAATACAAATGACTTATTCGATGACAAAATATAAATAATTAGAAAAAAATACTTACAGCTCGCAGAAACACACGTGTTAATTCACCGCGACGTTACCGTCAACGTCAACCGAGGTCCCCGTCCCGCGAACCAGGGAGAGTGAACTAAAGTTACGTTTGCTATGAAGTTTTTTAATAATATTTTTTTTTCGCGTTATAGCGATGAATGACGATTAACTTATAACAATATTTTTACTTAAACTTTAAGTTAGTTATTGACAAGTGTTTTAAAAGTTTATTATTGTAAAGGAAGGGTAATTTATAAGCCTTTAAATAGGACATGTTATTATATTTTTAATTTGATATTAAATAATTTGGAGTTAAATAGTTCCCTGAAGATACACAATTGGAATAAGAGTAAAATGGCATTTGATGAACTTTTTGAAGCGGTGATTGACAATAACCAGTAGTATATATTTTTTAAACTTGGTAACATATAAAATATTGCCAAATGTAAATAAAAATCATATCAAATGCATTCCAAAAAAACAGTATGCTAAATTATTAAGTCGGAAGACATATTTAGAGTCTTTTAAAGAAAAACCCGACTATATTTTTGTTATAATAAATAAATACTTGTTTAACTATAAAAGCATTTAATTTATCATCAAAAGTAATATTTTAGTACGGACAATGGAGGCAAGTGAAAAGAATAATTACCATCCTCATGACGTTTTGCTTCTAGCTGAAATAAAATACCTAGCTTATTAACGCTATTTATATTAAGGTTGCGCAACAAAATTTAAGCAGTTAATTATTTTATTTTATTCTACATTAAAATACAATAAGCACATTACATTAATCAATTCAGAATTTAATCGCAAAAATAACGGTATAACATTATTTGAATGTGTATGAATATACATTACCGTCAGTTATACTAACCAAAAGCGAAGACCATTCTGTTTGCGTAGTATTGTCCATGAATTGTTTGGTCATATTAGAATCATTTATTCTTAAGATTAAAGATTCGAGATCCTCATTTGGTTCAGTAGTATTGACTTGTACAGAATTAAGATTTGTATTTATTAAATGTTCATCTTTAGCCGAAAAATAGTTACCTCTCTCTGAATTATTGTTTAAACTTTCTTTAAGATTATTTGGTAATAGTGATTGTGTTCGAGGAATATTCACATCGCTGATTTTTATATCAATTTGCGTTTCATTCTCCATATCATATTTATCCGACCTTTTTATTAATGAAGTATCAGCGTTTACTTTGGTTACTGGGTTAGCGATGCTTAACCTTGTTTCGTCAATTTCTATTTTTGATGGTGTCGTACCTTTTTGCTCACAATTGCATCTACAAAAAAAATGTAAGAATGTTAAAATAAGTAACGTGCAGCAAAAGTGATAATTGATCAAAAAAATGTTTTGCCCAAATAACCGGACAGGTGCGAGTTGTACGAAGGGTCCCGTACCATTGTACAAGATTTAATATTATATCGAGCAAAAATCGGTGAAAATATAGGGTTCCTGTTTGTAAAAAAAATATTTAATTATTTTTTTATCGAAAGAAAAAAAACAAATTATTATAAAATTTTGTTCATGTATTAAGGCTCAAATCGAACCAATATCTTCGCTGTCTAGGTGTCGCTGCTGTTAAGTAAGGGCAATAACATATTACATACTCAATAGTTTTTAGTTTTGAGACAGTTTTTATTGTAATACAAAATAACAAACGCAGACATATAATATTAACAAGTATCTAAGAAAATATATTTGTTATTTTGTGTCAATACCACTGAATCAATAATGTCTAGTTAGCGGCAAACTTCTTGAGCAAAACCACAGACAAATAAACTTGCAGTAGACGTTTCTGTATGAAAAAATTGCTATTGCGGAGGCTTGCCTGTCCTTGCTCAAGTTTGCAGCGATGTATACATATTCAATACTTGACATGACGCACAAATGCAATTTCGAGGTCCGTGAGTTCGTTTCAGCTTTACTAAACACATATTTTTGAAACATGCTAGTGGGATCTGAATTATTAAAAACTGTGCTCATGATAATAAGGTTTTAGTGTTGGTACACTTTAAACTATTTGTTACCTTATCATTTGGTTTTTACAATCAATGTAGGGTACAAGTACGAAATAGATTTTCTCAGTGGGGTCTGATGATAAATCACAATTCTGCAAAAGTACATCGAAATCATCATTACAACAACAAGAACATCGCAAAACCACGAGTTTCGAGGTTTTTTCGTCTTCTGTAATTTCTTTTATTACATCCGAGTTGCACTTTTTTTCTGTTATAGAGTGTAATTTATTATCAATATTTACTTTGACGGTTCCATCACATTTTTTCAATTTTAATTTCAAATTTAAATTGATTACATCTCCTCCATCAACAACAGTAATAAAATTTTCGATAGGTTGACTATCGTTATTTATATTGAGGTTGTCAGTGCGATATTGATATTCTAAAGTATTTGTATAAGTATTTTTGCTAATTTCTTTTTCGTTTTGTACATTATAATGAGTAGTGGATTGTACATTACATATGGCCACATTTTGTACTTTGATGTTTTCTGCATTATAACAGTTATTTTTCTTAAAAGTTTCTTGCGTATTTGTTACATTTTCATCTAACCGTGGCAGAGTTGAAATTTCATGTAAGGGTATTATAGGTCTGGATAGTAATGAGATTCCTGTATTTATGTCTATACTCATTGACTCGGGTTTTTTAACGACGATCAATTCTTTATCACATGTTAAGTCATCGATTACTGGATTGGCTGTAGAGATATTATTTTCATCAAAAATTGTAGGTTTTTTTTGTATTTGATTAGATATTTCGGGTTTGATGTTATCTCTTTTGCTTTTGTTATTTTTTGCCATGAAAATATATTTGTTGCAGTCTTTGTCCTTCGATTTAATGGATCTATTGGGATTTGTAATCGATATTGGATCTTTGTTAAGGTTTCTTTCCATGTTGACCTTTAAATTTTTGTTCGTCTGTGGTTTTTCTTTATTTTTGGGAAACACTTTGGTTATTGTATCAGGTGGGACGTTTCGACTATATTTTCTTGGAAATGGTAAATGGAAGGTCTTCTTGTTGATAGTTTGCCCCAATATACTTTTGTTATCCTCAGGGCTTTTTGCCTTAAAAGTAATTTAACATCTTAATTTTATACACATCATAATTAATATGAAATCATTTTAAACTTACTTGATGATCGGTGCCATTATTTGTTTTATTTTCGGAATCTTCACAAATACTCATTCTATTACATTGTTGTTCTACTGAAATACAAAATATTTTGTTTCAGAATATCTTAGATTAGTTTTTAAAAATACTTCATACCTGTCTCGGGTAGCACGTCTTTTGATATACGTATTTTGCCTTGACGTTTTTCACGAGATCTAAATCAAAATATTAAAAAAAAATGTAGAATACGCTTAGTGATATAATATATAGTCTTTGTAAAATTATTATACCTTGACGCTTTCAGTAAGTACTCGTTGTACCCAACGGGAATAAACTTTTCTGTATGTGGTACAGCTACATACACATTATTATTAGCTATTTCAATTGGAGATGTCAGCTTTTCGCCGACCATTGTATACAAGTCAACGATAGATTGCCTGAAAACATTGAATCATTGAAGTAAAGGTGAAAAACTACATGATTGTATTGTATATGTGTATCTTCCTATATTAAGGATTGCTAGGCAGAATACTTAAATTAGGTTCTTACTTGCAGATCTTCAACTAACATTATAATAATTTGTAAAATATGCACACTGCCATAGTACTAACAACTTATCAATGCAAAAAATTGAATGCACAAGTACTGTTATATTTCGATTTTTTAATTAATTTGCGTTAGGCTATGGTGGCCGCTTACCATCATGCGGACCATATGCTTGTGTGCCCTCTTTTTTTTTAACATACAAATAATGTAAGTAAGTACATTCCCTTACTTATTTCCATATTGTGACTGTGCAATTCTCATCAAGGTGTCGTCCCATTTCTCGAGTTCCTCGGATTTCAAATGATATTTTCTAGGTGGAGTCGTATGCTGTCCATTGCAAAATAAGAAAATATCTAAAGCTTCATATTTCGTTTTGATACTATTAGGAACTTTAGCTAAACTCATTTTATAATATTGTATATTCCCAAAATAAACGGCGTTCACTGTAAATGTAAACTATCTGACAATAATAAAACTTAACTTTTTGCAGATTTACTCAGCTTCAATATTAAATTAAAGAACAAAACTGTTATAAATCATTAACAGAGAAATCAAATATATTTGTTGTTCGTGACCGAAAACGTAGAATTTTAGAAACGATAACATAACCTATCCGCCATGAATAGATTGTCAAAAAAAGTAATGAAAAAACTTTAAACGCTTGTGATTACTTTCTTTATGAAAAAAAAACCTGGAAGAACCCAATATACTTCGTCCATATAAAAAAATCTAAGTAATAAGCCGGAGCTATATTTGTCTGACGTGTTGTGTCGTGACTATGGTCGTGACAGGCTCTGATGCGATGGATAGCGTTCACGGCAACAAGTAGACTCTAAAAATATTCGCAAAATATTTAGTCGCTGAAGTGAATATTCACTTTAAAAATAAATAACTAATTGAATTAGAAGAAATATTTAAGGCGGGCTCCTATACAAGAGACGTGATTTTTTGCCGATTTTTGTTTGATATAGTGACTAGTGTTGTATAGGTAATGATAAGGAACCATTCATGCGCGAGTCCGACTCGCACGCATTTATACAGTCCATCAAATCTAAGAAGTACCGTATGACATTTCATGTTTTTCAAACAGATATAACTTTGTTTAAGTGTAACTTATTCAAATTCGATAACCTTTTTCGTAAAACCATGAATTTATAATGGTTTTATTATTGGATCTAAAAATGTACAATTCTTAATATCTAAATTTAATTGAACACTTTGAAACAAAGCAAAATAAACAATATTTACACAATAAATAAGTTCTATTAGTTCTATTCTTGACCTCATTGCAAAGTCACATAGTTAGGTCACTGCTCGTAGTGTTGCGACTCTTCGGAATCAATTGTGTACGAAAAAATCGTGTACATTATTCGGATAATCGAATTTATTACTTTCAAATTATCAATTAACGACTTTGTAAAAATACAATGACAGATGACAAAATGATCAAATTTGATGCCTCGGTCCATAATCTACTCAGATTACGATGTTGTAAGCGCTAGAAGCGCTTATGGCCAATGTCAGACCACGGCCAGAAAACGAATTTTCGACGTAATGTTTAGGGGTAGAGTGCAATTTAATTTTTGAATAATTTCACGTTACGGCTCGATCGCATAATGCATTTAATACATAGGTACCCTAAAATAAATTAATTTAATTATTTTCAAATAAATCCATATAGGCGAAATAGCTCCAGAAAAAAGATTTTTTTATCAGACAACACTGCCGACCACAAGCGCACGCGGTCCCCCTCGCCCGCGTCAGCAGTCTCTCGCCATCTTGGAAGCTGACTGTGCGCGTACCTACTTTCTCGTTTGTGTTTTACAATTTGTGACTTGGCTATTACTTTTCTGGACTCTAAACTAAGCAAGTGTTTATTAATAATGTCGAAAAGAGGACGTACTTTGAACAGCCAGGCTCGTGAATTGGTGGTGAAATTACACGAGTATTTTGAGCGTGAATGTCAAAATGGTGGAGCTCTACTGCCAGTTACACAAGTTCGGGATCGCGTCGGTGAAGCTCTCGGTATTGGTAGCCGCACCGTCGGCAAAATATAAAGTGAAAAATATGGGCCTTCGGGGAGTGACAGTAACGTACCTCACACGTCGAAAAAAAGGAAAAGAACTAAACCTGTGACAGGTATCGATGACTTCGATAGCCATGCTATTAGAAACCATATCTATGGTTATTTTACAAGAGGCGAATTTCCAACATTGGCAAAGTTATGTGCAACTTTAGAAGATGCCGGGCTATACAAGGGAAGCATACAGTCGTTGAGAACGATAATAACAGGAATTGGCTTCAGATACAAAAAAGTTGACAAACGAAAAATTGTTAGGGAGCGACATGACATAATTATGCAGCGACTAACATTCCTGCGCGAAGTAAAACAAATTATAAACTGGGATAATGTAATATTTTTGGACGAAACATGGCTAAATTCCAACCACTCTGTGACGAAAACATGGACAGATGATTCTGAAGCTTCGTGCTCGAAAGTACCAAGTAAGTAAGGTAGACGCCTCATTATATGCCATGCTGGATCAGCGTCTGCAGGTTTCGTGAAAAATTCATTATTAGCTTTCCAATCTAAAAGCATAAAAGAGTATCATGAAGAAATGGACGCGGAAAGGTTCCAAGAGTGGTTCTTAAATTTACTAACGAATATCCCTCCTAACAGCACAATTATAATGGATAATGTCCCATACCACTCTGTGCAAATTGATAAAGCACCAATATCAGCCAATAAGAAAGCAGATTTGGTGGCATGGCTGCAAAGAAAAGGAGTGGAAGCCGAGATGTCACTATTAAAAGCTGAATTGTTACATTTAGTGAAATTGCATAAACCACCAAGACCGACTTATGCTATTGACCAATTAGCCGAAGAACACGGGCACAAAGTCATACGACTTCCTCCGTACCATTGCCAATATAATGCCATTGAACTGATTTGGGCCCAAGTTAAAGGTAATACTTTATAATAAAATAATATTTTTTAGTAGTTGATTATATTAATAACAAGAACTTGTTCTTAATAAGCTGAAATATATTGTGAATTGAGATTTTCCGTTAAGTACAGTAATACTATAAAACATTACCCTTCTTCTTCGCAGTTGTGTAAAATTGTACATTACCTAACAAAATATTGCAAGATTAGCTTAATACATTTTGTAGCCACATAACACGAGTGCCTCTAGCTTACCTAATAATTATATAATTGTTTTACAGGTTATGCAGCAAGACACAACACAAAACCACCCTTCAATGTCAAGAAAATAGAAGGCTTATTAAAGGAAGCATGTGCGCAAGTTACACAAGAAGATTGGTCAAAAGTAGTAGAAAAAACAAAGAAAATAATAATGGACGATTTCGACGGAGACGTAAAATTCGATGATTTCATGGATAATCAACTAGTCATTAATTTAAATGACGATGATGACGAGGACGACAATGATTCCAGTACTTGTAGTGAATAAAAAAATATCCTAAACATTACTTTTATTTAAATGCTGATGTTCGACCTTTAGAACCTTAAGATTTTTTCGGTATTCTATCCTCAGATAACTAGTAAAACCTAAATTTACCAATAAACAACCTTTTACAATAACTTATTTAAAAAATATAGGAAAAGAGTACAGAGAAATAATATCTTAAATTTCGGATATTATGGTCATTGATCTCTTAAAATTCGGATATTATAGTAATCGATCTCTTAAAATTCAGATATCATAGTAATCGATTTTTTTAAACCCATCCCTATTATTCAATTTGTCATGTGTAATGTTAAATATATGGTTCTCTGTATATTTATAAAGGAACAAATATATATATATATATATATTGAAGTTAACGTTTAAATTGTGATCATGGTCAGTTTTGATTCTGCAATTGGATACAGATCCAAGACCGCCGCTATGTATTTATGCTTTTAGTCGATGTGGCAGTTAGGTACCATTGATGCGCTTAAGTTGTGACACTATTGTGTCGACATGTTTGATGAATTTGCAAGTGGCTGTTTCGCTCTTTATTGTTTCCAGTAAGTTGTATGGTTCAATTTTGTATAATCCGCAGTAATTATACAAATTATATTCAATTTGTCAGAACTGTCAAACGGTACTTCTTAGATTTGATGGACTGTAATTTCTTATATTTTCTTATACATTGTAGAAGTTATTCCTAGGAAAACGTTTTAACAAAAATAAAAACTGACCTCATTAAAAACAAAACCACTCTCGTCTCCACGTCTTAAGTACGTTTAAAGTCAAATTAACATTTGGTGTCAATGCCATGCCAACCCAATTAGTAAAAGTAAAATCAGATCTATCCATAATCTACCAGACATGCATATCGGTCAGTCCACAAACCTCGGAGATACGCGCGAACAACAATAAAAAAATGAAATGAAAGAAAAATTGAATTGACAACATCCTCATTTTAGAAGTCGGTTCAAAAAAATAAGAAAGTCAAACAAAACTGAAGTAAACGGTGACAAATGTTGCGGCCGGAAGCTAATAATGTAACAAATAGCTAAGAAAATAAGTACATACCATTTCAATTGTTCCCTTTTGTATAAAAAATAGAGCTTTTTCCTAAAAGCCAAGGTAAGTGAGTGTGCCGAAAAATTAATTAATCTATAGAGTTTAGGACAAGGACCCTTGTGTTAGCTGGGTGATTGTCGGGTTGTACGGTCCGTGTGGGTCAACGCTCGGCACACCTTTACGAAGGGTGAGCAATGCTTGGCTTTTTTTACTACAACACGTGAGACAACAAATGTGTAATCGATATGAAAAACTATAGGAACTGAAATTGCGAAATAAAAGGTTTTAGCGCTTTTTTAGCGTTGCGCTAGCATTCCACGCAGTCAAACCTGCGGGCGGATAGCTAGTGTTATATATATAATTAAGTGCTAACATTTGCATAGTTCTAAGTGTGTAAATTGCGAATTTCACAATCAAACTTTCATCCGCCGGTTTCACTCCTCAGGGGATGAAGTTCCGGAAATATTACGTTTTAATCAGAGTATTTTGAAAAAATCATTGTTCGCTCGTTATCAGTTTGATTTGTGATGAGCTCATTGGTAAGAATATATCATTGAGTTTTTATGGAATAAATGCTAATAAATAGTACCATAACATAATATATTCGACCACGTAGGCGTGGCGTTAGTTTAATTGTTTTAGGGGAGATCGGAAAGTTTAGAAAATTTTACAAATCAGTTATGATTTGTAAAATTTTCGCCCCCCACAGTTTCATATAGTAAAAGTAAAATAAAAGAGAAAAAAGAGAGAAAAAAGAAAAAAGAGAAAAGAGAACTATAGCGATTTTCCTAAAAATAGTCCAAACTGCGTATATGAAGGAATATACGCAGTTTGTCAAATATTTTTTCATATCCGAACATCCTTCTGTTCAATAGGGGTGATGCCGGGCTACAGTAAACGAAATTCTATTTAGTTCGTCAGTTAGATGATCAAAAATAATGGACACGTATTATTTCTTTGAGCAATCAACCAAAAAATTACAAAGTTATAGCGCGCCAAAGTTTGGGAGTAGGGGCTCGTAACGTCACTTTTAAGTGAAAATTGATCCAAAACGTGACATCATGCGACTTTTCAAATCAATATATTTCTGAAATGTTTATATTATGTGAAAAAAGAAAAAATACGTGT